TGTTGAGTGTGTGTGCATTGAAGTTCATTATATTATACACTGTTTTTGTTTCTTTGATATTTCCCATACAATGAAAATTTAGAAATACTATTGATTCTCATTATTTATGGATTATATATTTGTAAATTCAAAAACTGGCCAAAGTGTGTTTGTGGCTCCCAGATTAATACTTAGTGCATCTCCATGGTCATTTTCAAACATGCCAGATTTGCACATGTGCAGATATGCAGAATTTGAGTTGCTTAGTACATGCATTCCCAGCTAAAAAGCAGTGTGATATTCTGCCTCCTTATTTCAGCTCTCATTCTATAGACAGGTGTTCTTTCTGCAGTCTCTCTTTTTTTTTTTTTTTTTACAGGCAAGGTGGGCAGTGAGAGAGAGAGACCTTTTGCCGTTGGTTCACCCTCCAATGGCCACCGCAGCCGGCACGCTGCGGCTGGCACATCGCGCTGATCCGAAGCCAGGAGCCAGGAGCCAGGTGCTTCTCCTGGTCTCCCATGCAGGTGCAGGGCCCAAGCACTTGGGCCATCCTCCACTGCACTCCCTGGCCACAGCAGAGAGCTGGCTTGGAAGAGGGGCAACCGGGACAGAATCTGGCGCCCTGACCGGGACTAGAATCCAGTGTGCCGGCGCTGCAGGCGGAGGATTAGCCTATTGAGCCGCGGCGCCGGCCTCTGCAGTCTCTTTTAATCTCAGGTTTTTCACATTTTTGTGTTGATTTTACTATTTTTTTTAAAAGAAAAAGATTTACTTATTTATTTGAAAGTCAGAGTTAGAGAAAGAGACAGAGAGATCTGTCTGTCATTTATTTGCCAGATATCTGCAGCAGCCAGGGCTGAGCCAAGCTGGAGTCAGCAACTTTATCTGGTTCTCCCACTTGGGTGACAGGAGCCCAAGCGCTTGGGCCATGTTCTACTACTGTTCTCATACCATTAGCAGGAAGCTAAATTAAATTGTAAACGAAGCAGCCAAGACATGAACCAGTATGGGATGTCGGTTTTGCAGGTGGCCACTTAACCAATTGTACCACAACATTGGCCCCCAATTTTGCTATTTAAAATGACCTCCAAGTATAATGCTTAGTATTTTTCTAGCATTCCTCAGCACAAGAAGACTATACTGTGCCTTATGTTGAAGATACTTGCTACGTCATGGCACAGCAGGTTAAGCCTCCACTTTGAGATCCAGTTGTTCCACTTCTAATCCAGTTCCTTGCTAATGTGCCTGGGAAAGCAGAGGAAGATGGCCCAAGTGCTTGTGTCCTGCACCCAGTGGGAGACCTGGAAGAAGCTGCTAGCTCCTGGCTTTAGCTTGGCCCAGCCCCAGCTGTTGGTGGCCATTTGGTATGAACTAGCTGACGGAAGATCTCTCTCTTTCTGTCTCTCCCCTGTCTCTGTAACTCTGCCTTTCAAATAAATAAATCTTAAAAACTGCGTTAGATAACTGCATTAGATACTTGGTTCCAGCGGGAAGTACAGTGCTTGTGGCCCTGAGTTAAATGTTAAAAAAGTAAATCATATATACCAGCTGTTTTTAAACAAAAACGCACAAAGTGAGATTGTATTTCCTAATCAGTTAATGAAAATGTGATTGTGGGTTGTGAGGAACCCAACCCTGTATTTCCCAAAGAAGCCATGATAATTCACTAATTCATTTTCATGGTAACTTTATGGGACAGAACCACCAGAAATATCAGTCAGCTATATGTAATTGTGGTGGTTTATAATAATGAGTTATATAATGTTAAACTATTTTGGGATTCTTGGAACTCAGCTTAGTAAAGCTGTAATTTTTGTTTTTTAACTAAGTTACCCAAGTAGCACATTAATACTTTTAGGTGAATTTTTCAAAGAATAGAAATATAGCGATATTTATTTTTTTCTTTGCTGCTGCCTACATTCTGTCCCAATTCTTTCTATTCATATTTAATTTATATACTCCCAAATCTGTTTTGTAGTACGTGTATGCATGTACACAATTTTGTGTGTGAACATTTAGTTTGTCTTACTATACATGCTAATTTTTTTTTAAGATTTATTTATTTATTTGAAAGTCAGAGTTGCACAGAGAGAGAGAGCTTCCATCTGCTGGTTCACTCCCCAGATGGCCGCAACCGCCAGAGTTGTGCCAATCAGAAGCCAGGAGCTTCCTCCGGGTCTTCCCACGTGGGTGCAGAGGCCCAAGAACTTGGGCCATCTACTGCTTTCCCAGGCCATAGCAGAGAGCTAGATCAAAAGTGGAGCAGCTGGGACTTGAACCAGTGCCCATATGGGAAGTTGGCACTGCAGGCAGTTCCTTACCGGCTACACCACACAGCACTGTCCCCTTTACATTGTATTTTAACTTTTTTTTTTTTTTTTGACAGGCAGAGTTAAGAGACAGAGAGAAAGGTCTTCCTTTCCTTTGGTTCACCACCCAAATGGCCGCTATGGCTGATGCGCTGCGGCTAGCGCAGTGTGCCAATTTGAAGCCAGGAGCCAGGTGCTTCCTCCTGGTCTCCCTATGCGGGTGCAGGCCCCAAACACTTGGGCCATCCTCCACTGCCTTCCCGGGCCACAGCAGAGAGCTGGACTGGAAGAGGAGCAACCAGGACAGAATCCAACACCCCAGCCGGGACTGGAACCCGGGGTGCCGGCGCCGCAGGCAAAGGATTAGCCAAGTGAGCCATGGTGCCAGCAAATGTATTTTAACTTTTAAAATATTAATTTAATGATGCTCTTGGAAATTCTTCCATGATGCTAGTTATAGATCTATAAGGGTCAGTATTTCTCCAAGATAAATATCTAAAAATGAAATTGCTAGATTGAAGGGTATGTATATTCATTTTTTAGCTTTTATTTAATAAATACAGATTTCATAGGTACAGCTTTAGGACCTTTGGAATCAAAACTTTTACCCTTTACCAAACCTAGACACTAAATGTTACTCCTAGTGCTGACCCATAATCAGTTTTCTGTATTCACCCTTTGTAAGCACTTATTTTAGTGCTCTTCATTCTGTCAAGGTCTTTTGTGTAGCATTAAAGTTCATTACTGGACACTTTGTAATGCAGCTAAGTGTTGGCTGCCTCTCTCTGCACTGTTAGAGGGACTAAAATACTCTGGTTAAATAATGGCTTAGGCTAGCACCATTGTATGGACATTATCTTCCATTTCTCACTAAGTAGGGAATGTCTGGTTGTGACTTCAGTTGTAGTTCCTAGGCTAATGTCATTTTGATCCATCAAAAGTTTTCTCTGGGGTATTGACCTTTGTCCATGTGGTATCTTAAAAATCCCTCTAAGTTTGTATAATAGCACATTTCTTCTTTTTTAAGATATACTTTGTGAGTCATTAATACTCTAAAGGAAAAAGAAAAATTACTGTCTGTTTAGTGATAAAAGCCTCTCAGTCACATGACTCCAAGTCAGTAGATCGTGTCTGAGTTGCTGCTGTGCAGCCTTTTTAACAAATCATGATTGTTATCTGATTTGTATTTGAAAATGCCATATATTGAAAGAAGCAACTATAGTATGCATGCATTTTGCTTTATGGGGGGAGCAGGGTAAGGATAGTTAACATAAAAGCTAATTCCTAATTTGAAAATTAAAATCTTTTGATGTTTTCTAAAACAATCTAAAAAGTGGTATTGAAGAAATTTAACTTGTTTTTATGGGGAAGTAGTTTCCCAGGATTTGATCAGAGACTTTAGAAGGATTTGCTTTGCAAGAAAAATGATGTCAAAAGGATATATTATGACCAAAGTCTATTATGAGTAATAGTTTTCAGAAGGTTAAGAATAAGGAGTGACAGTTCTTTATGAAAAGAAGTGATATTCAAGAGGCTTAGGGTATGTAAAAATAAAAGTGGCTCCAGAGCTTATAGTGATTTTTTAAAAAAAAATAATTAGACAAAGTAAATATCTGGAGTTAAAAAAATGTGAAAAGTGAGCATTCAGCCCAGTGGTTAAGACACTTGCATCCCATGTTAGAGTACCTGGCTCTGTTCCTGATTCCAATTTCCTGCCAGCACAGACCCTGGGAGGTAGCAGTGGATAGGTCAAGTAATTGGGTTCTTGCCACCCATGTAGGAGTCATGAATTGAGTTCCTGGCCCCCAGCTTTGGCTGGTCACTGAAAGACCCTTATACTCAGTGCAAGACCTTAATAAAGCTGAAAAATTAGGAACATGATAAAGGGAACATAGAACACGAAAGGAACTAGCCTGTCAATGTAAATGCTCTTCAAATTGCACTTTGTTAGGAAGAACTCTGTACGTGGACCACCCCATAAAACGCTGTGTTCTTGTTTTTGAGTACTTTGTTAGCACTTTTGTGGTGGCATCAGTGAAGCTTCCTTAGCAGTCAGGTTTTGTTGCCTATAGGATCTACTGGTTAATGAATGTTGAAAGTCATCTGAAGTTACTTGAAATTGTTTTTGATGAATCAGTGCAGTGATGAGGGTGGGGGTGGTGGGAGCAGGGGCGGCATTTTGGAGAAAGCAGAAGATGGCCCAAGTCCCAGGGCCCTTGTCGTCGCTGTGGGAGACCCACATAAAGCTGGCTCAGCTGGCTCCTGGCTTTGGCCTGGCTCAGTCCTGGCCATTGCAGCCATTGGGGAGTGAACCAGTGGATGGAAGATCTTTTTCTGTTTCTCCCTCTCTCCATAACTCTGACTTTCAAATAAATAAATACGTATTTTAAAAAAATGTAAAAAAATTCAACTCAATGGCAAACTGTTTTCTTAGTTTATAATTTTTTTGAAGTTGGTGATTTGCCTGTATTCTCATAACAAAAATCTTACAAGCATTTTTGTTATTCATAGTAGGAATTTGGGTTTCTTTAAAACCCATCAATGTGAATATCTTGGCTATGGAAGCTGGATGGATACACACACACACATACACACACGTGTCTGATGAATAAAATAAATTTTGACCTAATTTTAAAGTCGAGAAACATTTTCCTTTGTAAAACCTGAAGAGGCATGTCCTTAACGCACTTGTGTAATTTCTGTCTTATTCAGGAAAGCAGTGCTTCTTAGTCCTACGTCAGCAGCAGTTTAACGTCCAGGCTCTTGTGGCAGTGGGAGACCATGCAAGCAAGCAGATGGTTAAATTCGCTGCCAAGTAAGTAAGCAATTATATCCTGTTGTCAGAGTCAACAATGGTGGGAACGAAGACTCCCAGGGGTTTGGACCATTTTCATACATTAACATCAATGCTTCGTTTGTTTGAAAATGTAGTTATTTAAATTGTCAGTTCAGTGTTGCTGAATACATTAAACTTACAAAAGAGAAAATATGGAGCACAGGCTTAAAATTCATTTGGAATTGCTGAAGCAGCACTCTGTACAGACAAGTCACATTTACTTTCAAGTAGAGTAACAAAAAGCTTGGCAGTCTCAACTCAGCAGAGCAACTTTATTTGTTGTGTTTGTTGAGCTTCATTTCCTCCTACCCTCCCTCCCCCAGTTTGAGATTTGCATGCTGAGCAACAGGTTCTCTAGCTGAATAATAAAAGTGTATAAAGTAAAAGAATGTAGTCTTGTAAAGTATTTCCTCTGGAAGGAAGTAAGACGTATGTTATAATATGTTACAACTGAGCTTTGACGCCTGAAGGTTTAGGGGAAAAAAAAGATAAAACTTGGCTTTTCTCTTACAGTCTTGCTATCTAGCTCTGAGTTCCTATAGAAGCACATTGTTTTGTTCGGCTTGCAAGAGGCAGGATGTTGAAGTAGAAAAAAAAGGTGGTTATACATGCTGTGGCTCTGAGTTAGTTGGTAGTTGTTTATGTGGCTAGTTTTGTTGGCCTGTATGAGAATACTTCAAAAAAAATCTTTGGAAAAATGGAATTAAAAGGTAAGTTTATTTTGGTGCCCAAGTTTTTGAAATCCATGTATAGTCTTTCATAATACACATTTTCCATGAGTTTTTGAAAGTCCCCTTGTATGTTTTTCTCAATTTGAGTTTTTATTTCCATGTTGATGATCAAAGGAAACCTGAGAAAACAATTTTACATTTATAAGTAATACAATACTTTATTTGTGTAAATGGTTCTTAAAAAAGAAATTGGCGACCGGTGTTGTGGCCTAGCAGATAAAGCCACCGCCTGCAGTGCCTGTATTCCATGTGGGCACTGGTTTGAGTCCCAGCTGCTCCACTTCCAATCCAGCTCTCTACTATGGCCTGGGAAAGCTACTGGCTCCTGGCTTCAGATAGGCACAGCTCTGGCCATTGCCACCAATTGGGAAGAGAACCAACGACTGGAAGATCTCTCTTTCTCTCTCTCTCTCTCTCTTTCTCTCTCTCTCTCTGTGTAACTCTGACTTTCAAATAAAAAAATCTTAAAAAAAAAAAAAAGAAACGGAATCTAGAGTAAATACTATATTCTTCTATTCATTTTTAAGTCTCTTCTTTAAATGTATATTTTCAAAGATGGATTGATACAGGTGGAATTATGAATTTTAGCATTAGAAAAGTTGATCCAATTTAATATCCTAATTTATGTTTGGGCCCATTTTGACACCCCCAAGCACAGTTTTTACATATAGTGTGTGCTCAGTAACTGGTTTTGGTTTAGAGATATATTTATCAAATTGAATTTCGTTGTATCATAGTAAGACATGCTCTTCTGTTTAAAAACTTAAGTGTCATGAAAAAAATCAATTCGTTGATGAATTCAGTAGTATTAGTGCTACTGTTTCTATAGCCCTCTGCTCTCTACTTCACAGTTCTGCATTCAGACACTGCCACCTTCATGTCTTCTTCCTGTCTCTCCTGGTAGTTTCACCTCATAGTCAGTGAGGAGGTCTGCTTGGAGGATGCTTTTTGTCACCCAGCATTTTAAGATCAGTGTGTATGCTGTGAAGTGTGACATAAATGAGCTTGATTACCAGAAGTAAAGTACCTGGAAACCACAAACATGATAAATTACATTTAATCTCCTGGAAAAAAGCAATCTCAAATCAATAAATCTTCATGTTTTTATTTTTTATATATCAACTTTGTTCTTAAAACTAATATATGAAGCTGATCGTTTTATAGAGGATACATTTCTTCCACTAAACTGCATTATAACTGCAGTGTTATTTTCCAAAAGATGAAATTGTAGCCTAAAACTCTTTTGAAAACCCCTCTCACCCATACTATTCACTGAGAGACATTCTGCTCACAAGTGGGCAGTCAATCCATAAGAAGTAAACATCTTAAAGTAATCTACAAGTAAGTTATTCTTATTATTTTGGGTCTTCAGAATCTGGGACTTAGTAACAGAATTGACTTTATCAGATTTAACCAGAGATTACCAGCTGGAAGAGATACTTGGAAGTGGTCTCCTAAGCAGAACTTAGTTAATTGTACTTTCATGGTGCTTAAAGAAAGGCCTTCATCCAATTCAGATGGTATAAGGATGATCTTTCTTCCAGTCATGAGAAAAATAATTTAGCTTGGTTTAATAATTTCTGAAATGGAACTTAATCAAGGACTAGATGTAATTCAGGTTTAACAATTAATTTATGACTTGGAATTTTGTTTTAACAAAGAACATGTGGCTATTTTTGGTCCCCTAGAAAACCAGACTTCATATAATTAGCAATGTGTGGGAAAAGGTTGAGCTGTTACAAATTATAAAGCCTTTGACTGGTTATATACAAGCAGATAGAGCCAATTTTATACAATAGGGTTAACATGTGGTACTCAAATTATAATTATTGAACTTTTGGCACTAGTGTGTTAAGGAATCAAGCTTGAGTAATAGTAGATGTGTAATGACTTTTGCTACTTTATAAAAAAGAAAATTCTCATGACTAAGATCCTAGTGATAAAAATAAGGTTTATTCTAGTGACTTTTTTGTTTTTTTCTGGTGGGTTGATAATGTAATTTCCTAGAAATATGACCTCATGCTCCAGATAGGCCAGTCACCTTGTCCTTTTTGTGTGATTTTAGTCTGTGCTTCTGAGGTAGTTCAGAAATCTTGATCCTTGTTGGTAATAGAAATCTAAGTCACATCTCCTTTCGGACAGAAAGTTAGCAGTATGATAGGTTCAAAGTACTAATTTTTAGTATCTCCTAAAATGTTATTTACTTATTTTTTAAAGATTTTTTTTTTATTTACTTGAAAGACAGGGTTACAGAGAGAGATAGGGACAGAGAGAGAGGTCTTTCTGCTCGTTCACTTCTCAAATGGCTGCAACAGCCAGTCCTGAGCCGGTCCAGAGCCAGGTGCTTCTTCCTCATCTCCCACACGGGTACTGGGGCCCAAGGACTTGGGTCATCCTTCTCTGCTTTCCCAGGTGCATCAGCAGGGAGCTGGATCAGAAATGAAGCAGCCAGAACTCAAACTGGCACCCAGATGGGATGCCAGCACTGCAGGCTTTACCCGCGATGCCACAGTGGCTATCCCTTATTTTTTTATTCACTGCCCACATGCCTACAACATCCTGGTGGGAGCAGGGAACTTCTGTGTGGGCGGCAAAAATTCAATTACTTGAGCTATCCCACTACTTCCCAGGGTCTGGATTAGTAGGTGGTAGGTATGGAATCCAAGAACTTCAGTATGGGATACAGGTCAAGTGCATGTCCACAAAGTACTAACTTTTAAAGAAAATTAAGAACAGAAAGCTTTACTTTGAAAATTATTGCTTGCTCTGTCAGTAATCAATCAAGTGAAATCGTATGTAAACTCTAAAAGCTTTTTAGAACTTATTAAGGGAAACAGTATATGGATTTTTTTTCTTTATCCTTCGAGATCCTTTTCCTGGAAATTATCATTATTGGCTAGGTATAACAAACTGTTTTATTTTCTTATTTTTAGTTTTTATTTATTTTCATTTTATTTGAAAAGCAGAGAGAAAGTTATCTCATCCAGTGGTTCATTCCCCAATATGACTGCAACAGCCAGGGCTGGGATAGGCCAAAGCCGAGAGCCTAGCACTCAATTCCAAGTCTCCCACATAAGTAGCAGGGACCCAGTCCCTGGAGCCCTCATCTCTGCCGTGCGTGTCTGTTACCAGGAAACTGGAAGCAGAGCCAGAACTCAAACTCAAGCACTCCAATACAGGATGCAGGTGTCTCAGGCAGCATCCTAACTGCTGAGGGTCAGATGCTCACCCCACAAACGGTTTTATTTAAAACAGATGTTTATTGGCTCCACTGTGAAAACAAAAAGTTTATTCATGTTTCTTTGCCTCTAATATAAATACATAAATTTTAAAATATTCCTCTATTTGATTTTAACTATGATAAGTAAGAATTTTTATCACATGCACTTCCATATTTATAAGCATGAAGGATAATCCTGTTTTTAGATAGGGCCCTAAAATGAAAGTAATACTTTAATTATTTATTAAAAAATATTTGAGATTAAAGTCTTCTGTGTATCTCTCAAATGATTTTTTTAGATACTTGGCTTCAAATTGTTTTCATCTCTGTTTAGTCTTGTTCTTTATAATTTCTTTTTTTTTTTTTTTAAGATTTATTTATTTATTTGAAAGGCAGAGAGCCAGAGAGAGAATAGTCTTCCATCCACTGGTTTACTCATCAAATGGTTGCAACAGCCGGAGCTGGGCTGATCCAAAGCCAGGAGCCTGGAGCCTCCTCCTCCGGATCTCCCATGTGGGTACAGGGGCCCAAGGAGTTGGGCCATCTTCTACTGCTTTCCCAGGCCACAGCAGAGAACTGATTGGAGTAGAGCAGCCAGGACAAGAATCATTACCCATATCGGATACCAGTACCACAGGCAACAGCTTTACCCACCATGCCACAGTGCCGGCCCCTCTTTATAATTTCTACCACGTGTAATTGGTTAGAGCAAAATAGTCCAATCACTTATTAAACTAAAATTTATTGGGGATACCTGTTCTTCCTGATCCCTCCTTAGGTCTATACTTGTCATAAGTTTCTTTTTTCAATGCCAGTTTTATCTAAAATTTAATGGCTTCCTATTTCCAACCATGTGCAGTATTCTGCCTGCTGGTTCCGTCATTACAGTGTTACTTCCCACTTCAGACTGGACAGACTCTGTGCCAACAATGACCTCTTTTTTTTGTTTTAAGGTTTTATTTATTTTTATTTGAGAGGTAAAGTTATAGACAGTGAGAAGGAGAGACAGAGAGAAAGATCTTCCTTCCGTTGGTTCACTCCCCAAATGGCCACTATAGTCAGAGCTGAGCTGATCCGAAGCCAGGAGCCAGGCATTTCCTCTCGGTCTCCCATGCGGGTGCAGGGGCCCAAGGACTTGGGCCATCTTCCACTGCTTTCCCAGGCAACAGCATAAAGCTGGATGGGAAGAGGGGCAGCCAGACTAGAACCGGTGCCCATATGGGATCTCGGCACTGCAGTTGGAGGATTAACCTATACCACAGTGCCAGCTTTATTCATTATATCTTCATTAATACTTATTGATTGGTTTCTTTCCATTCATTTCTTAGGGGTCTACATATATATTTTTAAAAGGCTGGGTATTTTCCATATATATTAAATATATAAAATATAAATAAATATATCAAATATATTTAATTTTAGGATAGTTTTATTTTTAATAACCTTAAGATGTCGTTCTATAGCATCTTAAAGGCCAGTTTGCATTTGAGAGCTGCTCTGTGAATGTAGTGCCTCTATTAGCATTTACTATCACATTTACAATTGCATTCATCTGTAACTGAATGATATCTGTGTTCTGTGGAGATGATTTCACAGTAGTTTGAATAGAAACACATGCTGACTGGCTTGGTTTCCATGTGGTACCTGGTAGTGGAGACTTTCTGAACTCAAAAAAACCTTTACCATTTGAGCAGTTGTACTGAATCCTATTTTGTCTGTACTGAATCCTATTTTTGTCAGATAACTGATAGAACAATAGTTCTCATGCAAGGAAAAATGTTTCTATTTCCAGTTTCAATATTTAGCAGATTAGATGTTCAATAACCCATTTTATGCATATTTCTAATAATACCACATTAACTTTCACATCAACAAGGAGTTTTATAAAATTATTAGCTGATACTTTATTTAAATTGTTATTGTTGGACTGTGCTCTGCAAAATTTTGGTTAATTTTGAGGCCCAAATATCCTGAACCAAACTCTGAGTTAATGTTTTATGTAATTGTGAACAGGCTTTCTTCACATTATTAGCATTGAAATCATATGCAGAAACAGATTAAATATAGAATTAGTGCTGAGGCTACAGCTTTATACAGTAAACCAAATGTCAGCAGTTTTGTTTTAGTAAATTAATATTGTTTTTATTCTGTTATTCTCTTTAAAAATTCATTTTGATTGTAAACTTAAAGCATCAGCATTTATACTAATTTTATACTTGTTAGGTATTAAAGTAACATAATAAAACTAGTTTCTTTGATTACTGAGAGTCCCTGACTTTTTTTGTTCTACTAAAGAAAGCCTGTATTGTAGTTTCAGAATCCCTGGTCTGTGCCTTATTGAATAGTGTATACTTTTCACCTAGATTATTTTAGACTCCGAATTCTTGGGTTTTGATGAAGAAGAATGAGTTCATAAAATAAGTCTTCATAGAACTACTAGGATGACTTACACCTTTTATTTTTGCAAAGCACTAGTGGACAGCTGGGCCTTAAAGAGGGCCAGAGAACCCAGAGATTTGATTCCCAGTCAACTGGTGACAAAGGGTTTCTCATTGACCAAACTCTTCTCAATCTCCTTCTGAAGTCTCTATTCAACTAAGCTTTAACTTTTGGACTTTGGTATTTTTATTGCATGTGAGATATTTTTAATATTTAAAAACACCTAATTTGTTATTAAAATTCAGTATAGTGACTGTTCTCGCTTTATCTTGACAAGATAACTAGCATGAATTTGTATATTTATTTGTGTTCCTTTTACTAGTCCTATACCAGGTCTGGAAAGTACATTGCAATGGTCACCAGAATCTTCCCCAATATGGCATAGAGGGAAAGTAATAAGTTGGCTTATTATAATAGCAATAATAGGGGCAAGATTTTAGTGCCACAGTCAGGATCGAGCCCCAGTTCTGCTTCCCTTTCCAGCTTCCTGCTTATACCCTGGGAGGTAACAGATGATGGCTCAAGTAGCTGGCTCCCTGCCCCCTACGTGGGAGACCTGGAATGAGTTCTAGGCTCTTGACTTCAGTCTGGCCCAGCCATGACTGTTAGAGGCAATTGGATAGTGAACCAGCAGACAGGAGATCAATCTCTTTCTATCTCACTCTCACTGTCTCTGTTTTTCAAACAAAGAAAAATACATATATTTTCAAAATAAAGGCAGTAATAATGGACATATATTGGGGTCCTGGCCTGAAGCGCCGGCATCCCATATGGGCACCGGTTCAAGACCTGGCTGCTCCACTTCCTCTCCAGCTCTCTGCTATAGCCTAGGATAGCAGTAGAAGATGGCCTAAGTCCTTGGACTCCTGCACCCGCATGGAAGACCCGGAAGAAGCTCCTGGTTCCTGGCTTTGGATCAGCACAGCTCTGGCCGTTGCAGCCAATTGGGGAGTGAACCATCAGATAGAAGACCTCTCTCTCTGTTTCTACCTCTCCTCTGTCTGTGTGACTCTTTCAAATAAATAAATAAATCTTTAAAAAAAATTGACATATACTAAGTATGGAGATGTAAAGTGTTTTACTTGGATTTTCTTGTTTCATCTTCACGGCAGCCCTAAAATGTGTAGATATTCTTTTGAAAGAGTTACAGAGGGACCGGTGCCGTGGCTTACTTGGTTAATCCTCTGCCTGCAGCACTGGCATCCCATATGGGTGCCGGGTTCTAGTCCCGGTTGCTCCTCTTCCAGTCCAGCTCTCTGCTGTGGCCCGGGAAGGCATTGGAGAATGGCCCAAGTGCTTGGGCCCCTGCACCCACATGGGAGACCAGGAAGAAGCACCTGGCTCCTGGCTTTGGATCAGCGCAGTGCTGGCCGTGGCAGCCATTTTGGGAGTGAACCAACAGAAGGAAGACCTTGCTCTCTGTCTCTCTCTCTCACTGTCTAACTCTGTCTGTCAAATAAAAAAAAAAAAAGTGTTACAGAGAGAGGTAGAGCTGGTTCCACTCTCCCACAACAGCCAGAGCTGAGTTGATCCGAAGCTGGGAGCCAAGAGCTTCCAGGTCTCCCACGTGGGTGCAGTTGCCCAAGGACCTGGGCCACCACAGCACTGTCTCCCTTTAGTTTGTTCTTTTTCACAAATGAGGAAAGTGAGATTTGAAATATTATTTTAAAAGATTAATTTATTTATTTGAAAGAATTAACAGAGAATCTTCCATCCACTGGTTCACTGCACAGATGGCCACAATGGCCAGAGCTGGGGTGATCTGAAGCCGGAAGCTTCTTCTAGGTCTCCCACATGGGTTCAGGGACTGGAAGACTTGGGCCATCTTCTACTGCTTACCCATGTGTATCAGCAGGGAGCTGGATGGGAAGTGGAGCAGCCAAGACTCAAACCGGTGGATGTATGGGATGTCAGCATTGCAGGCAACGGCTTCACCCACTACACCACAGTGTAGTGTTAAATGTTAAATGTAGTGTTAAATGTTTTGACTAAGGTCTTTTTTTTTTCTTTTTCTAAGGTCTTTTTGACTGCAGGGTTCACACTGTAGCCTCCGTATATTCCTTCCTCTGTTTGATAATATATTAATTCAAAGCCCTTCACAATAGAAGTCTCTTTAGAATATAGTCTATTAGACCCTGTTCCGAAGTTATTGAGAATCAAAATGGTAGGGAGAAAAATTCGTTTAGAAAGTATAACCTGGGGCCGGTGCTGTGGCATTGTGGGTGGAGCCTCTGCCTTTAGTGCCAGCATCCCATGTGGGCGCCAATTTGGGTCTCAGCTGCTCCACTTCCAATCCAGCTCTCTGCTGTGGCCTGGGGGAGCCGTGGAGGATGGCCCGGGTACTTGGGCCCCTGCACCCGTGTTGGAGACCCTGAGGAGGCTCCTGGCTCCTAGCTTCGGATCTGGCTGTTGTGGCCGGATGGGGAGTGGGCCAGCAGATGGGAGACTTCTCTCTCTCTCTCTCTCTCTGCTTCTCATCTCTCAGTATAACTGTGACTTCAAAATAAATAAATAAATCTTAAAAAAGAAAAAAGGTATAACTGAGGGGCTGGCATTTGGCCTAGCACTTAAGACACCACTTGGCATGCCTGCGTCCCATATCAGAGAGCCTGCCTGGATTCAAGTCCTGGATCCAGTTCCCATTTCACCTTCCTGCTCATGTTTACCCTGGGTCTGTGAGGATGAGCGCAAATGCTTAGGTCTCTTCCACTCACATGAGAGATTTAAACTGATTTTCTAGCTCCTAGCTTCAGCCTGTCCCTGCTCCAGCTGTTGCAGTCATTTAGGGAATGAGTCAACTGATAGAAGAATTCTCTCTCATTCTCTCTCTCTCTGCCTTTCAAATAAATACTTGAAAAGCTTTTAGGGGCCTGTGTCTGCAGTTCTGGCATCCCATATGGGTGCCGATTCAAGTTCAGCTGCTTTACTTCTAATCTAGCGCTCTGCTATGGCCTGGGAAAGCAGTAGAAGACGGCCCAAGTCCTTGGGGCCCTGCACCTGCATGGGAGACCGGGAAGAAGCTCCTGGCTCCTTCCCGGCTTCGGATCAGCATAGCTCCAGCTGTTGCGGCCATTTGGGGAGTGAAGCAGCAGATGGAAGACCTCTCTCTCTTTCTTTCTTTTTCTTTCTCCCTCCCTCCCTCCCTCCCTCTCTTTCCCCCTCTGTGTCTCTCTCTGCCTCTGTGTAACTCTGCCTTTCAAATAAGTAAAATCTTAAAAAAAAAAAAAAAAAAGTAATGGAAGGAAAACTGTTTGAAATTGGAGGAAAAGTTCTAACACCAGATGTGGAGGGGTGGGCCTAATCACGTAGGTCACACGTAGATGTTTGCTGTGGGTTTTTAACTTTTGTTTTGTAAAAAAGATTTATTTATTTGAAAGGTAGAGTGATAGAGAAAAAGAGAAATTTTCTGCCATCCTCTGGTTTACTCCACGAATTGTGGCTACAACCAGGGGCTGGGCCAGGTGAAATCAGAAGCCAGAAACTCCATCTGGGTCACCCAGGTGGGTGGTAGCAGGAACTCAAGTACTTGAGCTGCCATCCACTGTTTCCCAGGCACATTAGCAGGGAAATGGGTCAGAAGCAGAGCAACCAGGACTGGAACCAGCAGTTCTAATGAGGAGTGTGGGTGTCCCATGCAGCAGCTACTTGACGTGCTATGCCACAATACCCACCCACATGTTTGTGTATTATATGTGTCTGTGTGCTAAGTTTACCTGAACACTTTTGTTTGCATTAACCAAACTCTTATTTGCACTAACCAAGTGTTCTCACTGTTGGAGTCTGGCATAGGCAAATATAAAAACTCTCATTGTGCTCAAATTGTTCCCTAATATGACTGCATCCATATTATTGGAACAATTTCACATTTCCAAAACAAGTGTTATGGCAAAACCAGCTGTCTTCTTGAAACAGATTGTGATGTTTGCCCAATCAGTTGATAAAAACATGAGTCTTACCTTTTTGCTTACTGCTTATGGGTGGGGTGAGGAAAATAACCAAATAGAAGATGACTTAAAAGTATCTAATTTGAGAAACGAGACACTAGAACTGAAATGATAACCTTTAATCTATAGCAGGTGGTCTGTATGAGCTGAGACTAAACATGACCCTCTCTCTAGAGCTAGGATAAGCTCACCTTCCTTTAGCACATGTGAGAAATAAAGGGTGGTTACTGAACAAAAGTTGCCTCTTAGCAAAGAAAATGGCAGTGCTATTGGTTAGGCAGCTAATCTCCTCAACTTATTTGTGTTCAGTAAATTAAAGTTCCAGCCTTTTGAGTTCATGAAAAACCCAAAGACTGAAATAGGTTTCTTCTCCAAAAAACATCTTATTTTTTGGCTAATAGTAGTCTACTCCTCCCCTTTCAAGCCTTCTTTTCATTTTGAGTGTCATTATGAAATACCCTGGCCTTACTGGTCCTTTTTTCTCCACTGTCTTCATCATTACTCCTTTTTAACAACTCACTCCTATGGTCACAGCTTGGATTTTTGCCCCTGAGAACTTCACCATTTTATTTTATTTTATTTTTTAAAAGACTTATTTATTTATTTGAAAATCAGAGTTACACAGAGAGAAGAGCCAGGCAGGGAGGGAAGGAGGGAGGGAGAGAGAGAGAGAGAGAGAAAGAAAGGATTTCCATCCAGTGGTTCACTCCCCAGATGGCTGCAACTGCTGGAGCTACACCGATCCGAAGCCAGGAGCCAGGAAATTCCTCTGGGTCTCCCACGTGGGTGCAGGGGCCCAAGGACTTGGGCCATCCTCTACTGCTTTCCCAGGCCATAGCAGAGAACTGGATCAGAAGCAGCCAGGTCTCGAGCCAGCACCCATATGGGATGCTGGCTTTTCAGGCCAGGGCTTTAACCCACTGTGCCACAGCACCGGCCCCAACTTCAGCATTTTAAACTGCAGTCACCATTCTGTCAGACCATAATTTCCACTAGTCTGCTTCTCCCATGCCTCCTAATCTTCTGTTGGACCTCTTCAAGACTTTTAGTCTTTTTTTTATCAGTCTCTGTTTTTTCTCCATTCTTTTCAATCTCCTTCTCACCTTATAGAACCCCATGTTCTGTTCCAAGAACTGCTCTCACTGCATCCTTATCCTCTGTTCCCTTCTTTTTATCTTGCCAGAAGCTCCCCTGTCTCACAGATTCCTGATTCCATTATCTAATGTGGAGATTTGAATGTATTGTATAGTATTTGTCGGTATAACGGTTGATTTCCATTCCTAAACTGGACCCTTGGATATATCATACTTTCTAATGAAAACTGAGTTTTCTAGGCTGCCTGTATTTTCATTGTTTTGCTGAACTCTTCAGGATCTCATTCCTGTTTATCATTTAGTTTCTAATGACAAAGGAAATATTTGGAAAATACTTTGAGTTCCATTCCTTCATATTCTATCAGCTTTCAATCTTGATTTAAAAAGCACATAACCAACAGCATGTAAACCAATCCTGGTGAATTCTTTTGCTTAAATAAAACAAAACATCCTTATTTATAAATGTTCCAGCTTATATTAAATTTTAGAACCAATGCAGCATGAGATCATTCAACAGAATATTTAGTAACACATTCTCTTTGGGTAGCTTTTGTTGATGGGCCAACCAGCCATTCTGCTGGAATCTGATTTAGAAAATAGTGTGTATAGAAATATGTCTGAGAGAGAAAGGGCGATTTAGTCTCCATTTAATTTTCATTCTTAGATCAGTTTTTGTGTATGAAATGCTTGCAGTTATTTTTAGTACTGTGGGAGTGGCTAAAGACTATTTACTTACTTTCAAGATGTTTCCATTTTGAATTTACCATCCAGAGATACCAGACATTAAAACATGAACTCACACACAGCGAAGTGAGAGAAATAATGGTATTTATATGTTAATTCCACAAGGCCTTACATTTACTCTATTCCCTCTGGCCATATACCAGGTGGAAAAAAGCAAGGACTCCACTATTAAAAATATCAACTGAGATAGTTCCAGCTGGGGTTTTGTAATCATTTAAAAGGCAAAATATGGGGTCACTTTTAATATCTTAAGTAGATAACCATCTTAGCATTTACTTTAGATATTAAATCTGAAGTAAATTATCTTTAGCATTATTGACTAAATTGAACCTGCTAGCAATTTCTAGTTTTTGAGTATTTTCCTTAAAAGAAGCATTGTAGTTCAGTTTCTAGTCAACTATTTTCCCAAAATTATCTGTCCTAGGAATATCCAATTAATCAATATAGTAATCAAAAAAGTTGACTCACTAATTGGATTTAAGTGCCACAAGAGTCTTCACCACATTATTTTAATCAATTTGTTGGAAAATCAATTTTCTCATGGCTGAATGTGTATAAAAATGAGACAGTTTGAATGAGTTACATAGAGATGTTTGTACATGTAATTCCCTCGAGATTTTAAGAACAGATTCCTAATTGTATATCTGAATAGTTTAAAGCCTTTAAATGAAATTTGGAAGCAAGAAGATGCTCTCCCTGTCTAGGCCAGTGTTTCTGGATCCTCATCTTATGTGCACATTAGTTATATAATAGTTAGTAGCCAATACTGGAGTTGAGGCAAAAAATTATCCTCTTTTGTCTTTTAATTTATTATTTTATTTTAGTGCCTTTTTATTTAAGGTGATTAACAGACCAGTTTGTGTTGATCAAGGTTGAGTCTTATAAAGTTCAAGTTTTTAGAAGGTAGCCCTGATGGCCTTGTATATATAAGTATTTTATTTTTCTTTGTATTAGTCATTGTGGTTGAATGATTTATTGGTAGCTGGTGAGTCACAGCAGTGTTTCCTATTCTCTAATGAATCACCTAGCAACACACAAGTTTGTTTATTTTCTTTCCTTTCTAGATCTTTCACCTAAAAAAGATGTTTTACTAGTTGGTAGGTTAAAATTTCAGTTTGCCACTTTAACTGTTAGATCTGGAAAATATCAAAACGCTACTCAGAAAAAGTATATTGATTTAGAAAACTTCTGTTTAGCACCTAGTGTGGTCCTGGTACTCTGGTGGATGTGGGAATTTGAAGATGTATATATGACAGGCTGGACTGGAGGTGATCCTGTGGTATACTCCTAAAGGACTAGGCCAAAGTCAGTACCCTAAAGTGGGACCCAATCAGGAAGAGATAAAGGAACTACTTTTTCCCCGGAGTTTTTTGTCTGTCATTTACATGAAAAGTGTACATTTCATTTATATGAAAACTTTTGAATAAAGTTGTGTGCTGTCAAATATTTTTTCACTTTAGATCCTCCACCAGTAACTTCCAAACCACCTACTGCAACAACTACCTTTTCTCAGTGTTTATGATTATTTTTATCTACTCCAGGCCTACCCCACTAGTCTTCAAAATGTGATTTGCTTGAGTCTGTTGTTTTAAAGGGGGAGAAAATAATGAAGCAATCTTTGTTCCTCTCTTTTTCCTTCCCTCGCTTCTTTCATACTTCCTTCTTTTCCTTAAAAGGATGAGAGAGCATTTGAGTTTTTTAGTAGCTAATTTATCAGTAAACTCAGGGCCCATCACTGGATTTTGTCTCAGGTCACATGTTACCTAAAGCATGGGAGGTTTCTGAAGGAGGATCGCAGTATCATAACAAAAAAGAGCACTCACTGGCACCCATACTCTCAGGTTCAGTGTCAGTGTGTTATAGCCAATTTCCATGTACAGTACCTAGATAATTGGTTTATGGGGATTATATATATATATATATTTAATAAGCTGGCCCTCAGAGGCTTTAAATGGATTTCTACAAAGAAACCATAGAGGGCGGGTGCTGTGGCAAAGCAGATAAAGCCACTGCCTGCAGTGCAGTTCGAGACCAGGCTTCTCCACTTCCGATCCAGCTCTCTGCTATGGCCTGGGAAAGCAGTAGAAGATGGCCCAAGTCCTTTGGGTCCCTGCAGCCGTGTGGGAGACCTGGAAGAAGCTCCTGGCTCCTGGTTTCAAATCAGCACAGCTCTAGCTGTTGCGGCCATCTGAGGAGTAAACCAACAGATGGAAGGTCTCTTTTTCTGTCTCTGCCTCTGCCTCTGCCTCTACCACTCTATAACTCTGACCTTCAAATAAATAAATTTAAAAGAAAGAAAAAAACATAGATTGAAGGTAAAACTAAAAATGTAAGTTCAACCAAGATGTTATTGCTGATACTACTACACTTAGATTTTGTGTAGTTTTTTTTTTTTTAAGATTGATTATTTTGCCGGCGCCGCGGCTCACTAGGCTGATCCTCCACCTGTGGCGCCGGCACCCCGGGTTCTAGTCCCGGTTGGGGCGCCGGATTCTGTCCCGGTTGCCCCTCTTCCAGTCCAGCTCTCTGCTGTGGCCCAGGAAGGCAGTGGAAGATGGCCCAAGTGCTTGGGCCCTGCACCCACATGGGAGACCAGGAGGAAGCACCTGGCTCCTGGCTTCAGATCGGTGCAGTGTGCCAACTGTGGCGGCCATTTTGGGGGTGAACCAATGGAAAAGGAAGACCTTTCTCTCTGTCTCTCTCTCTCTCACTAACTCTGCCTGTCAAAAAAAAAAAAAAAGATTGATTTATTTGACAGTTAGAGGGAGAGACAAAGGGAGATTTCCATCTACTGGTTCACTCTCCTAGATGGCCACAACAGCCAGTGTTGGGGCCAGGACAAAGCCAACAACTTCTTCCAAGTCTCCCACGAGGGTAGCAAGGGCCCAAGCATTTGGGGGCCATCTTCTGCTACTTTTTTTCCAGGCCATTAGCTGGAAGCTGGATTGGAAATGGAGCAGCCAGGACACAAAACAGCGCCAATATGGGATGCTGGCATTGCAAGCTGCAGCTTTACCCACTACACCACAATGCCTGCCCCGTATTATATAGTTTTGTTTTGTTTTTAAAGGTTTATTTATTTATTTGAAAGAGTTAACAAAGAAAGAGGGAGAGACAAAGGGAGAGAGCAAGAAATGATAGTCTAATCAATTCTAGCAAGATGTCAGTAACTCCCAAATTAAAAATTATCAGGAAAATTATTTGGATTTGCATCCATTCATTATTGCTAAATTATCAAAAATATTTGGAGATATGTAGCTACTCAGTCCTTTTCGATCCATTGATACTATTCTCTCTGTTTTGAAACTTGTTGCTTTCTTGGCTGCTCAAGCACGTTTCTCTTAATTTCTTTTTTCTTTGTTACTTCTTCTCCCTATTGCAGAGTTCTATTATGATCTTCGGCATTTCTGAAGGATAGTAATTGAGAGGCATAAATAAGCCTGCCCGAAAGAAAACAGACTTGTATGATAAGTCATTCCAGATGTATTTCAAAGCCTTTGTAGCCAGATCATATCTGGGAACTCGAGAATTTTATTTTTTATGACTTTATTAAGATTGTGTGAGTCAAAAAGAAAAAAAGTAGCAGATGAACTCAAAACTCAGTATCATGACAACTGTCCAAACCAATCTACAGATTTAATATAATCATTCAAGATACCAAAAGCATTTTTTTTTACAAAAATTTTAAAAACCTGTCCTAAAATATGTACTTGAATCTTAAAGGACTTCACATAGCCAAAATGATCTTTTAAAAAAGCAACGAAGTTGGAGGACTCACACTTTGGATTTTATACCTTGCTATGGGTAGAAAGCATCCTTACTCTGAAAATCCAAAATCTGAAACTTTGAGCATCAACATGACATCACAAGTAGAAAACTCTGCATGTAACCTCATATGAAAGGTCTGAATCAAAATGCAGGATCACTAAAACTGTTGTCTAAAATTACCCTCAGGCTCTGTGCTTTAGGTATATATGAAACAAATGAATTTTATGTTTAGACTTGGATCCCATCCCTAAGATATCTTATTATATATATGGAAATATTCAAAATCTGAGAAAATTTGAAATCTGAAACACTTATAATCTCAAGCATTACTAAAAAGGGAAACTCAACCATTCTAGGCTACAGTAATCAAAACTATGTTGTACTGGCATAAAGATGGACATACAGGCCGTTGCCGCAGCTCACTTGGCTAATCCTCCGCCTGTGGCGCCGGCACCCCGGGTTCTAGTCCCGGTCAGGGCACCGGATTCTGTCCCGGTTGCTCTTCTTCCAGTCCAGCTCTCTGCTCTGGCCCCGGAAGGCAGTAGAGGATGGCCCAAGTGCTTGGGCCCTTCACCTGCGTGGAGACCAGGAAGAAGCACCTGGCTCCTGGCTTCGGATTGGCGCAGCACACCAGCCTTAGCGGCCATTTGGGGGGGGTGAACCAACAGAAAAGGAAGACCTTTCTCTCTGTCTCTCTCTCTGTCTCTCTCTCACACTGTTGAACTCTGCCTGTAAAAAAAAAAAAAAAAGATGGACCTATAGACTAGTGGTGTAAACAGCCTCATGTATGTGGTCAATTGATTTCTGAGAAGGGTACCAAGTAAGTCACACGGCCAAACTCAAAGGAGCAAGTACTTTCTGCTTATATGAAGCCATGGCAAGAGTGTGGGTGAATACTACTACCATAGGACAATCAAGACATGAGATGAGTATTTAACTTTTTCTCAATGATAGAAGGGTATCTGTGGCTCTTTTCCATTTCCTGGTTTTGGTGTGTTTATACTTGTGTATGCATAAACTTCAGTTGACTTCAGCAATATCCAATAATTGTTCCTACTTCTAGTTGTTCCGTCAGACTTTTTTAGTTTCTTTCTTTTTTTTAAGATTTACTTTGTTTATTTGAAAGGCAGAGTGATAAGGAGAGACACAGAGAGATGATCTGTCCACTGGTTCACTCCCCAAATGGTGGCAACTGCTCGACCAGCAGAAGCCAGAAGCCAGGAGATTCTTCCTGGTCTCCCATGTGGGTGCAAGGGTCCAAGTACTTGGTCTCTCTTCTGCTGCTTACCCAAGCACACTAGCAGGGAGCTAGATTGGAAGTAGAGCAGCTGGGACTCAAACAGGCACCCATATGAGGTGTCCACAGCTTTACCCACCACAATACAATGCTGGCTTCCAGTTTCTTGCTTTTTATGTAATACAGATATGATAACTGATAATAAAGATTGATAGAACTATAGATAATGAAAGTGTCCCTCAAGTGAGGCACAAGTGAGGGCCCAAGTAGTAAAGTGTATGTTACTAATGTTCTTTCAAATAACTGGGTACTGTTTGTTTTTTCCAAGTTACCTATTTCATAATTGTTTGAATTAGTCATGTATTGTATATATTTGTTTCTAAAAAAGCTTGAGGGGCTGATGCTCTGATGTAGTAGACTAAGCCTCTGCCTGTGACATTGGCATCCTGTATGGGCACCAGTTTGTGTCTCAGCCACTTCTCTTCCAATCCCACTGCCTGGGAAGTGGAAGATGGCCCAAGTGCTTGGGCTCCTGCGCCCACATGGAAGACCCGAAGAAGCCCCTGGCTCCTGGCTTTGAATCGGCCCAGTTCCAGCCATTTGGGGAGTGAACCAGCAGATGAAAGACCTTTCTGTCTGTCCCTCTCTCTGTAATTCTGCCTCTCAAGTAAATAAGTAAATCTTTAAAAAAAAAAAAAAAAAAAAAAGAAGAATCTTGAGCAAGGAGTATTTAGAATAGTGGTTAAGGCATCCAGTTCTCGCCTTTCCGGCCTACCCACGGGAATATGCCTCTCACAAAGGATCTCCTCCATCCCTCTCCAGAAGAGGAGAAGAGGAAACACAAGAAGAAGCACCTGGTGCAGAGCCCCAATTCCTATTTCATGGATGTGAAGTGCCCAGAATGCTATAAAATCACCACGGTTTTCAGCCATGCACAAATGGTAGTTTTGTGTGTTGGCTGCTCCACTGTTCTCTGCCAGCCTACAGGAGGAAAAGCAAGGCTTACAGAAGGATGTTCCTTAAAAAGGAAGCAGCACTAAAAGCACCCTGAATCAAGATGAGTGGGAAACCTTCCCAATAAACACATTTTGCATTTAAAAAAAAAAATCCAGTTCTCTTATCAGAGTTCCTGGATTCAATTCCCTACTCTGGCTCCTGACTCAAGTTTTCTGCTAGTACAGACCCTAGGATGAAGTAGTGATGGCTCAACTGTTTGGGTCCCTGCTACTCATGTGGAAACCTTGGATTGAGTTCCCAGCTCTCAGCTGTTGCCATGGCTGTTGTAAACATTTAGGGAGTGGATGGGCACATGGAGCTCTCTGTCTCTGTCTCTCTACCTCTCAAATAAATTTTTTAAAAATTCAAAATATTTGTATAGAACAGTTTTCATAAAGATGGGTGCTTTTTATGATTTTCTTTTATAAAGACAGTTTTAGTTAGAACTGAGCTATTTATTGATGGTTGACAGTTCCTAATGGATGGCATGAAATCAGTTATGCCTATTAGCTAGAGCATTTTAATATCAAGACCAGGCTAATGTATCTTATTTGAAGAGTGATTAATTATAGGGAGGGTCAGAAGGATGGTTAGAAAATGAAAGGGGTATAAAACACAATACAGTGATAGTGTGAGGGGATAGTAATAATAAAAATAGCTGACTTAGCTCTTAGAAGATGTGTTTAATTTACTTGATTCATTTCTCTAGCAATAAAATAGTGCCCAGGAGTTTCTCTGCCTTGCACCATCTTTTTTCTTTTTTCTTTTTTTTTTCCCACCCTTACTATATCTGCTGTAAAAATTAAGGCTTTTAGTTGCTGTTAGATCCAACCCTTTTTCAAAACATAGATGTAGTAGTATATTAGTTTCAAAATGTAAACCTAAAATCTTAATAGAGTCACTAATTCTAAATATCAAGTGTAGTCTGACCCCTTTTCATAAATTTTTTTGTTTTAATTTTTTCCTCCTGAATTTGCTATTATCAAAAATATGTAGGAATAGGTTTAGAAGTAGCTATATAGAAATACTTGAGATAAATTATCCAAAGTTCAAAAAATCAGAATGTTTTTTTTTTTTTTTTTTTTTTTTTTTTTGGCAGAGTGGACAGTGAGAGAGAAAGAGACAGAGAGAAAGGTCTTCCTTTTGCCGTTGGTTCACCCTCCAATGTGGTGCGCTGCGGCTGGCGCATCGCTGATCCGAAGCCAGGAGCCAGGTGCTTCTCCTGGTCTCCCATGCAGGTGCAGGGCCGAAGCACTTGGGCCATCCTCCACCGCACTCCTGGGCCATAGCAGAGAGCTGGCCTGGAAGAGGGGCAACCGGGACAGAATCCGGCACCCCGACCGGGACTAGAACCCGGTGTGCCAGAGCCGCAAGGTGGAGGATTAGCCTATTGAGCCACGGCACCGGCGATTTTATTGATATCTAAATAGGCTGGGGTTTTGTGTGTACGTATGTTTATTTTCATTTCCTTGAAAGGCAGACTTGACAAATAAATGTTTCAGTACACTCCCCAAATTGCCCAGCCATGGCTGGGCAGGCCAAAATTGGGAGTCTAGAACTCCTTCTGGGTTTTCCGTGTGGGTGGGAAGTAAAATGAAGCCTCTTAATCCTTCTGGTCTCAGAGGAACCTTATGTTCGTTCAATAACTACTTCTTTGCTGTAATAAAGTCTGAGTTTCTTCAGTACACAAGATTGTTTTGTTTTGTTTGAGAGGTAGAGTTACAGAGAGGAAGACACAGAGAAAGGTCTTTCATCCTCTGGTTCACTCCCCAATTGGCCGCAAGGGCCCAATAACATGGGCCATCCTCTACTGCTTTCCCAGGCCATAGCAGAGAGCTGGGTCAGAAGAGGAGCAGCTGGGAGACGAACTGGTGCCCATATGGGATGCCAGCGCTGCAAGCAAAGGCTTAGCCCACTGTGCCACAGCACCAGCCCCTAGTACACAAGATTTTAACTAGGTATTAAGTGATAGTTCTAGTTCAGCTGACTTAAGAGAATACAAGAGATGTGTTCATTGGGCGGGCATAGGTTAAGCCTCCGCCTGTTTTGCCAGCGTCCCATATGGACACCAGTTCAAGTCCCAGTTGCTCTATTTTGATCCAGCTCCCTTCTAATGGCCTGGGAAAGCAATGGAAGCTAGACTAAGTGCTTGGGCCCCTGTAGCCATGTGGGAGTCCCAGAAGAGGCTCCTGGTTCCCAGCTTCGGAGCAGTCCAGCTCTGCCTATTGTGGCCATTTGGGGAGTGATGCAGCAGATGGAAGATGTCTTTCTCTGTCTCTTCTTTTTATCTATAACTCTACCTCTCAAATAAATAAATAAATCTTTAAAAAAAAGATGTGTACTACTGATTTTTTAAAAAAGGTAATTGGTAACAAAAATGCAGAATTCTAGGCAATGTAACAGGTTCTTACTTCACAACTCTTCAGCTCTTTGTTTTAATCCCTTTCCAACCTAGAACAAATTCATTGTATAGGATTGTGGTGGTGTTCCTGGTGTAAAATAAGTTGAGTTTCTGAAATGCCTGAGAGTACCACAATGACTAAGGATCCTGTTCCTCATCAGAATGAATAGAACCTTCCATGAAAGTTAAATCTTGTCCTTTTCACCAAATACTTTGTGACATTCTATCAATATAAAGCTACATAAAACTGGTGAATTTTGTATGAGATCACCATTTTGGAAAATATCTTTTCTTCCTTGGTTGTGTACTAGAGATAAAATAATTGTGTTTAATAAGCTACTTCATATGTTTTATATTTCAGAATTTGAGGATCCAGTATTCAGAATTTAAGTTTTTTATAGAATAAGCTGCCCCAGATAGCCATTTGTTTTACATTTATCATGCATTAAGGATCATATATGCATTCTTTGAGAGTACACAGTCTGGGAGGCTGTTATAAATCAATGACAAAGGGGCCAACGCTGTGGCATAGTGGGTAAAGCTGCCACTTGCAGTGCTGGTATCCCATATTGGCGCCTGTTTGAGTCCCGGCTGCTCCACTTCCAATCCAGCTTTCTGCTATGGCCTGGGAAAGCAGAAGATGGCCCAAGTCCTTGGACCTGTGCACCTATATGGGAGACCTGGAAGAAGCTTCTGGCTCCTAAGTTTGGATCAGCCCAGCTCTGGCCATTGGGGCCATTTGGAGAGTGTATCAGCGGATGGAAGACCTCTCTCTCTCTCTCTCTGCCTCAGCCTCTGTAACTCTGCTTTTCAAATAAATAAATAAATCTTAAAAAAAATCAGTGACAAAGTATTCTCAAACTATAGGTAATGCAAATTTAATTGCAAAATAATACTCTTATGTCCTCTTATTACCTTGAAATCTTTTCAGTCAATGTTCTTGTATTGTTTAATTCCATTTTGTATCAGTAATTGCATTTATTAAAAGCATTGTTTGTTATAAGAAATGCTGATCTTAGTGAATCTCAAATATAGCAATGGAAATGTTCTTTAATAAATAATTGAAAGAGTTTTTTTTTTGTTTGTTTAAGATTTTATTTATTTGAGAGGTCAAGTTAAAGACAGTGAGGGGGAGAGACAGAGAGGTCTTCCATCTTCTAGTTCACTCCCCAACGGCCACAACAGCTGCAGCTGGATTGATCCGAAGCCAGGAGCTTCCTCCAGTTCTCCCATGTGGGTGCAGGGGCCATCTTCCACTGCTTTCCCAGACCATAGCATAGGTCTGGATCAGAAGTGGAGCAGCCAGGACTAGAATTGGTGCCCATATGAGGTGCTGGTGCCATAAGCAGAGGATTAACCCACTGCACCACAGTGTCAACCCCATTTTTTAAATTAATTTATTTATTTATTTTACTACTTTTCACAGTCCAGTACTGGTCTGATTGGCTTTTGTGTCCAGAATATTGTATAAATGATAACTAAATTATGGCATAAAAAATATCTCTTCAAAAAATCTCACAAAGTGTGCTGCATAATAGCTTATTATAAGTAGGTTAAATAAACCGGTTTTATCTCAAGTGGCTTACTGTATTAAAAGAATTTAATATATTCAGCTTTACTGCTGAAACACCAAATGAATTCTGACACCTCTGATGAGATGATTAAAGTAGGGAATTTCTTCTTTTGACAGCATCAACAAAGAGAGCATCGTAGATGTGGAAGGCGTTGTGAGAAAAGTGAATCAGAAAATTGGAAGCTGTACACAACAAGATGTTGAGTTACATGTTCAGAAGGTAACTCTTTTCAGAATATAAAAGTATGTGTAGAAATAGATTTGAGTAGTTTTTAAAACTTTTCATGTCAAATCCATGTGCTGTTAATTAGAGTTGATGTAAAATATTGAGATTTATAAGTTGATTCCTGAATCAGATCTGCTCCTGTGGCATTGACTATATGGTACCATGAGGGTTCCCAGGGGAGAGAGACAGCAGCACTAGTACACATACATTTTTCAAGCTTCTTTTTATTTAATGTGTGCTGAATATTCCATTTGTCAAAGTCACATGGAAAAACAGATTTATGGGATGGAAAAATTGATTCCAGCTCTTGGTGGGAAGACAGGGAATATCATTGCAAAGGAACATCTTTGCAGGAGGAATTATTGCAGCTCTTTTTACACAGTCTACCACAGTCATGTAGGAAAAAGTATAGACCACATCTAAAAAGCTTATTCAATATTAGGAACCTACCTCATGAATTTTCTTCTGCGGTAATAACCTTTTGAAGGTTTATTAATGATTCTTAATAATTATATTTCATTATAGTTCTGTGATTTTTATGGCATAGAGTCGTCAAAAGAGAGAGTATAAGACTTATTGATCCTTCATCAGTTTTTTTTTCTTCAGGCATACAAATACGAGTGTTCATTGTCACTGAAAAGAAAGTACCATGTGTAAATACATGCATATTTAGTACTATTGAAGTAACCCCACAGTGTTGAACCTGTGGCTCAGATTTAGATCTAGATTGTGTCTATAACATGAATCATTAAATTTCTCTTAAGGAATAGTCTTTAAGACAAACTGGTAGGCCGGCGCCGCGGCTCACTAGGCTAATCCTCCGCCTGCGGCGCTTGCACCCCAGGTTCTAGTCCCGGTTGGGGCGCCGGATTCTGTCCCAGTTGCTCCTCTTCCACTCCAGCTCTCTGCTGTGGCCTGGGAGTGCAGTGGAGAATAGCCCAGGTCCTTGGATCCTGCACCTGCATGGGAGACCAGGAGGAAGCACCTGGCTCCTGGCTTTGGATTGGTGCAGTGCGCCGGCCGTAGTGGCCACTTGGGAGGTGAACCAACGGAAAAAAGGAAGACCTTTCTCTCTGTCTCTCTCTCTCTTTCACTGTCTAACTCTACTGCCCAAAAAAAAAAAAGACAAACTGGACTGGTTTCTTCTTAACCCCCACCTCCACTCCTGTGGAAGTATGTGTGTACATGAGCATATGTAAGAGAGACAAACAGTCTGACAGGCAGACAGATTCAGAGACATGGCACCATATGTACTCCGTAATTTGAGTGTATGGTGGTATTTAACTGAACTGATTGTTACAGAAAGTCCAGAGGTGCATGTTTAGACTAGTGGTTAGCATAACAGTTAAGATGACTGCATCCCATATTGGAATACCTGGTTTAGATACCCTGCTGTGGCTGCTGACTCCAGCTTTCTGCTAATGCAGACTTTGGGGAGCAGCAGTGACAGCTTAAGTTGATTAGGTCTTTGCCACTAACATGGGAGACCCGAATTGAGTTCCTGGCTCTGCTTGCTTACTTTCTTTCTTTCTTTCTTTCTGTCCTTTTTTTTTTTTCTTTTCTTTTTTTTAATTATTTGACAGGTAGAGTTATAGACGGTGAGAGAGAGAGACAGAGATAAAGCTCTTCCTTCCATTGGTTCACTCCCAAAGTAGCCACTACAGCCAGCGCTATGCCAATCCGAAGCTAGGAACTAGGTGCTTCTTCCTGGTCTCCCATGTGGGTGCAGGCACCCAAGCACTTGGGCCATCCTCCACTGCCCTCCCGGGCCACAGCAGAGAGCTGGACCGGAAGAGGAGCAACTGGGACTAGAACCCAGCGCCCATATGGGATGCCAGCACTGCAGATGGAGGATTAACCAAGTGAGCCACAGCGCCGGCCCCCCTGGCTCTGCTTTCAGCCCTCACCCAGCCTGAAACATTGCACAGATTTGGAGAGTGAACTACTGGATGTGCTCTCTCGCTCGCTCTCTCTCTCTCTCTCTGTCTTTTTCTGTCTATTTCTCTCTCGCGCTCTCTCTTTCCTTCTCACACACACACACAAATAAAAGTTTATTTACTTGAAAGGCAGAGGTACAGAGAGGGAAAGACAGAGGGAGAGGTCTTCCATCTGTTGGCTTACTCCCTAAATGGCTGCAACTGCCAGAGGTGCACCAGGCTGAAGCCTGGAATGTGGAACTCCACAGGAGGGTAGCAGGGGCCCAAGATTGGGCCATCCTCTGCTGCTTTTTCCAGGCCATTAGCAGGGAGCTGGATTGGAAGTGGAGCAGCCGGAACTTGAACCCGCGCCCATATAGGATGCCTGCATCACAAGCAGCAGTTTTACCTGCTATAGCACAATGCCAACCCTAATAAATAATTTTTTAATTAAGATGTCCACATACACTGGCCAAGAAACATAGCATGCCTCATCTTTCTTATAATCTTATAATGCTTTAATAAAATGTTTTGACTAGGGCAAGGAAATGCAATTTTAAGGTATTCTGCCATAAAAAAGAAAAAGAGATGAAATCTTGTCATTTACAACAGGAAGGATGGAACTGGAGGTCATTATATTAAGTGAAATAAGCTAAGCACAGAAAGACAGGTATCATGTCATATCACTCATATGTGGAGTCTAAAACAAATGTGATTTCTTAGGAGTTAAAAGCATAATAGTGGTTAACAGGCTGGGGAAGGGGAGGAAACGAAAGGAAAAGGTTAATGGGCACTAAGTTATGGTTAGGTAAAAATAAGACTTTCTGGGGTTCTGTTCCATAGTGACCATAGATAATGTTAATGTATTACATTTCTGTATTTAAAAAGAATTTGAAGATGGGATTTTGGATGTGTATGCTGTAAAGGAATGGTCAGTGCTTGTGGAGATAGATCTGTTTACCCTAAATATATATTACACATTGTATACATACATTGAAATATTACATGCTCTTCCATAAATATGTATACTTTCTATGTGTCTGTTAAAATGTGTTATTAACAAAGCCTTTAAAGATACTATCTAGAATGCAAGACAACCTTAATAATAAAGAATAAGGAGCTTGCAAATTTTGCCACAAAACATAAAGTGTTATTTATTAAATAGGATTTTATAAAAAGCAATGACTTTCAGTCAGCAATTGCTGAATGTATATACATTGTGCCAAGCATGATGTGTGGTTCTGGGAATCAAAATACAACCTAGTGAAGGACATCAATTTCCACTTGTCAAAGTGGAAGATGCCTTGTGTTCTCCAACTTGGGATTGGAGGTCAAGTTTTCCTGTTAATTCATCAAAGGTGAACCCTACACTTTGTGTGAAGAGAATGGTGATAAATAATTTTATTTTACTAAAGGGGGACTGAAGTATCCTTCTGACATTTTTTTCTTGAAGTGTCTGAGCTGAATGCTAAATATGATCTGCAAACTCGTAAGGGTGTAATTTTCTTTTCCTGAATTAACTAAATAATATCTGTTTCCCTTTTGTGCTTTAGCAGATTTTCCAGGTGTAGTCAGGGCTAAGTAATATGGTAATATGTTTTTTAGTGGTAGCCAAAAAACCCTAGCGGAGTTTTTATGACCAAATTGCTTTTTATCACTAAAATGTGAAATTGGTATTAGTGGATATTGAGGGAAATTTAGCAACATAACCCATAAAGGAACATCCTTTAAGGCAGCTCCCAATTAGAACAGCAGCAAATAATCAGATGTAATGTATTTGATGAGAGGAGGCAATGAAGGGATAATTGGGGAAAAAAATGAACGAAAGAAGGAAGAGGAGTTTTAACAGATGGACGAATTTGGACCTAGTGTAAGCACTGACCCAGTGCTGTTAACAGCAGTAACAACTCATATGTTAATAAACCCATCCTGTGAGTAAACTGTTTTCACATCCCTTACTCTGTTTTATTCTTTCAGTAGACCTCCTTTTAATTGAAGCCCTGAGATGGAGCTTTTTTATGATAAAGCTAGGCCTTAGGCTCAGTCCCATGTATTCCAGTCATTACTTACTTATTACAATGATATGCATCTTAGGGTTTACTAAGTGTTTGTTGGCCTAGCAACCCATAGAATAAGGCAAGAAACATTATTATCCACATTTTATAGGTGAAAAATATTCTTCACTTTTTTTATTTCAGCAGGTAGTTTCAGTTAAAGATGTATGCAAACACTACATCATGTTAAGTCAGTGGTAGATTATTGTTTTAACCAAAAGATACCAGTTTTTTTGTGCTTCCTGTTATTTTTGGCAATCTCTCACTTTCAGATTTATGTGATCAGTTTGGCTGAACCCCGCCTGCCCCTGCAGCTGGATGATGCCATTCGGCCTGAGATAGAAGGAGAAGAGGTAAAAATTACAAAGTATTGTGCTTCCTCTGTGTGTTTAGTCTGTAAAACACTGAAAACCTGGTGCCCTACTTTTGTATTAAGGGTGATGGTAAATTGATTTGAAATCTATTTTTATTTATATTTGCTCTTACATCAGCAAATCTCAAACTTTTTGGTCTTAAAAATAAGTGAAGACTCTAAAAGCTTTTATTTTTGTTATCTATCAACACTTACAGTATTAGAACTTAAAGCAAGTTTTAAAATAGTAATGTAAATGTATTATGTGTATATATTATATAAATAACAAAAACATTTTATGAAAAATAACTTTTCCAAAACAAAAAATAATTTTATATCAACAGTGAAATTTTGGTATACATCTATAAATTTTGATCACATTGGAATTAGTGAAAGACAACTTGATTCTCATATTGCCTCTACATTTATTTTGTTATGATAGTACACATCATGTAGTCTTTGGAAAACTCACTATACTCATGAAAAATGAGTGAAAAAGCATTTTTATGGAAAAAGAAGTTTAACTTCATGGACTCCCCAAAAGAAATCACTTTGAGAACTACTACTTTATGTCAGTTTTTGTCTGTTCCTTGAATTTAGGACTAGCAAGTAAATCCGGGAATCAATGAAGGTACAGGTTGTTAATTCTTCTGTTGTCTCAATAGTGAGGCAAGGCTTTTGGAGCTGGAGGAGGGAAAGAGGGGGAAAAAAAGCTTTAGCATCTATCTATTCATTCTCATTTCTCCACTTCCCCCTTCCCCCTCTCTCTCTAACATTAACTTTTCTCTCATTTCAGTTGTTTTAACCATTATTTTGGATCCCTGATTTTGAGGCATAAAATTAACATGCACATATCCATTCTCACTTAAAAATAAATATAGCTCCTAAACATGTTTTTTGTGTTCTTCAAAAAATTAGTAAAATCTGTTTTTTCGTCTTTTTTTTTTTTTAGGAGGGAAGAGCTACTGTTAACCAAGATACAAGACTAGACAACAGAGTCATTGATCTTAGGGTATGCCTCATTTATTTTTTTAAGTGACCTGATTATTACCAAAGTTGAGATGGACGGGAATACCATACCTGTCCCAAGCATTTAGAACTAAGTTGTATTTGCTTATGTATGATAATACTTAATTATGTAAGTATGATAATACAGGAAACAGTTTACCTTTCTCATTGACCCTTCCCCTAAAAAGAACTGCAGGCACTCCAATATGAGAGTGCCAGTTCAAGTCCTGGCTGCTCCTATTCTGATCCAGTTCCTACTAATGTAGCTGAGAAGGCAGCAGGTGGTGGATGGCCAAAGTACTTAGGCCCCTGCCACCCTTGAGGGAAATCCAGATGGAGTTACTACCTCCTGGCTTGGGTTTGGCCCAACCCTGCATTTTGTAGTCATTTGGGAAGTCAGTCAGCAGATGAAAATTCTCTGTATTTCTGTTGCTATGCCTTTCAGATAGATAAATAAATTTTTCTTTTTTTTAACTACAGGCAGCAGGGTCAGATACCATTTTATGGGATATTGACTCAATTTGTTTCCGAATCCCAAATGAGCTTAAAGCCAATAAATAGACTTGCTTCCAGGTGATACCTGTTTTGTACAAGTTAGATAGCAAGTTGAAACATAACCACTAAAATCACTGCAAAATTGTGAAAGAAATTATGTTCACATTTTAGAAAGACCAGGTAGAGATAAGTAATTAATAGCTTATTCCTTTGAATTTGAACTGAGTATAGAATGAATGAAAAAATAGTTCACCCTGATGGCTTAAACTGGAGTCTTAGGGGTTTTCCGTTTCTGTTTCCCTTTCTGATTTGGTTGCAAGTGAAAGAGTTCAGTGGTTTCATCATCGTGGTAAAACCATTATCTTTCTTAATGTTTTGACCACATCTTCCTCCTTACTTAAATATTCTACCTAAAGCTCAAATTCTTTGTCACCTTTAGAGTTCTTTCAAACTCTTCACAGTCACATGAGCCTACCCTTATTGTGCACTCATGTGATATTACTACTTATTTGCTTTTTGTCTGCTTATACCCTCTTCATTTTAATTTATAGAAAAGTGAACAGTAATCAGAAGTCCCCTTGATACTACTAGAAACCTCAGGTTTTTCATATATTTCGGCCACAGGAGTTAAGCATCATATTATACATGACCATGCTGTTCACAAGAGTTGTTACTGGTTTGTGCCTCTGTTTTGGCCCTGGGTTTTTGCTGTTTTGTTTTGTTAAATTCATTGCCACTGTTGAAAAATGGGAGCTTTGGGGCTGACACTATTGCGTAGTGGGTAAAGCTGCCGCCTGCAGTGCCGGCATCCCATACGGGCACCGGTTTAAGTCCTGGCTGCTCCACTTCTGATCCAGCTCTGCTGTGGCCTGGGAAAGCAGTGGAAGATGGCCCAAGTCCTTGGGCCCCTGCATCTGTGTGGGAAACCTGGAGGAAGCTCCTATCTTTGGATCTGCACAGCTTCAGGCATTGCAACCATCTGGAGAGTGAACCAGCAGATGGAAGACCTCTCTCTCTCTCTCTCACTCACTCACTCGGCCTCCCTATAACTGCCTTTCAAATAAAATAAATATTTTTAAAAAAAGGAAAATAGGAGCTTTAATGATAAAACAGATGCCTTTTAAAAAAGCTGGAGGAAGAGCAGATGTAGCTTAGCATTTAAGACACCTATGTCCCACATCAGAATTCCCAAGTTTGGTTCCTGCCTTCAGCTCCTGAACCAGTGGATGGAAGCACTGTTTGTTGTTTCTTGCCATTCCTTCCTCTCCCTCCTCCCTCCTCCCTCCTCCCTCCTCCCTCTTCCCTCTTCCCTCTTCCCTCTTCCTCTCCCCGTTTCTCCCGTTTCTCTCCCTCTCCCCGTTTCTCTCCCTCTCTCTCCCTCTTTCCTTCTCTCCTCTTCCTTCTCCTTTTCCCTCCCCCCCTCTGCCCCTCTCCCCTTCCCTGCCTCTCAAGTTAAAAACCACTGAAGAAGGGTCTGGTATTCTGGGCCCACATAGCCTAACATGTTACAAGAATCCAGTGTCCTTTGCTTTGCCCTGTACCACTCAGAAAATGTCATTCATATTATTTGGTCATTTCAAGCTTTCACATTTTTAACCTCTACTTTGACTTTACATTTTGGGAAACATTGTATATATTAATAGCTTTAAATCTTTAAGCTCTTACTTTCTGTCTATACTGTTATCTAAAACCAACTCTTCTATAGATTCTTGGTGAAGTCAAGGGTTGGAGAAGTTGCCAATAAAAGAAAAAGATGCTTTTCTCTTCTCTCTTTTTTTTAAGATTTATTTTGCTTATTTGAAAGACATAGTTAGAGAGAGGGAGAGACAGCGAGAGAGAGAGAGAGAGATCTTCCATTTGCTGGTTCGCTCCCCAAATGGCCACAACAGCCAAGACTGAGCTAGACTGAAGCCAGGAGCCAGCACCTTCTTCCTAGTCTTCTATGTGGATGCAGGGGCCCAAGAATTTGGGCCTTCCTCCGTTGCTTTCCCAGGCCCATTAGTAGGGAGCTAGATCAGAAGTGGAGCAGCTGGAACTTGAACCAGAGCCTATATGGGATGCACAGTGCTGGCCCCACTATTCTTTTATGAAACATTCCAAGATATCTTTCCATGTTTGTTCTAGAGCAACCTAACGCTGTTTTTCATGTAATAAATTACTTTTTCCATAAACTATTCTAGGCAGGTGTTCTGATAAAAAAAAAATACTGTCTCCTGGCTTGCTTTTTTTTTTTTTTTTTTTTTTTTGACAGGCAGAGTTAGAGAGAAAGGTCTTCCTTTTTCCATTGGTTCACTCCCCAAGTGGCCGCTACAGCGCGTTGTGGCTGGCGCCGATCCAAGAGAGAGGTCTTCCATCCTTTGGTTGGTTCACCCCCCAAATGGCAGCTACGGCCGGCATGCTGCACCAGTCCGAAGCCAAGAGCCTGGTGCTTCCACCTGGTCTCCCATGCGGGTGCAGGGCCCAAGCACTTGGGCCATCCTCCACTGCCTTCCCAGGCCACGGCAGAGAGCTGGACTGGAAGTGGAGCAACCAGGATAGAACCGGCACCCCAAGGTGCCCCAACTGGGACTAGAACCCTGAGTACTGGTGCCACAGGCGGAGGATTAGCCTAGTGAGCCGCAGCGCCGGCCTTGTCTCCTGGATTTTAAGAATGTTAAAATGTTAAGGAAATTCTCATTGCTGGAAAAACCTGAATTCAAATGTTCGTATCTTGTGCTATTTTTTTCTTTTTGTACACAGCACTCACTAGATCATATTAAAAATTTAGGGATTTTATTGTAAAGATTTGTTCATTTATTTATTTATTTGAAAGGCAGAGTGACAGAGGAATAGATCTTACATCTGCTGGTTCACTCCCCAAAATGCCCACAACAACGGGGGTTGGGCCATACAGTAGCCAGGAGCCTTGAACTCCATCCAGGTATGTCATGTGGGTGGCAGGAACTAAAGTAATTGAGCCATCATCTGCTTCCCTGGTGCATTACCAGGAATCTGGAATGGAAGCAGAGTAGCCAGGACTCTTAACTGGCCCTCCAGTGTAGGTTGCAGGCATCCCAAGCAGCACCACAATGCTTGCCCCAAAATTCAGGCATTTTACAAGTATCATTTTAGCTCTTTTTTATCTTTGTATTGGCAAAGGGAATAGGTAATTCAGAACTTAAAAGCATCCCATATGGGCACTGATTTGAATTCCAGCTGCTCCACTTCCAATCCACCTCCCTGCTAATGTGCCTGGGAAAGCAGTGGAAGATGGCCCAAGTCCTTGGGCCCCTGCACCCACATGGGAGACCCAGAAGAAGCTTCAGGCTCCTGGATTCAAATCTGCTTAGCTTGGGCTGTTGCAGCCATTAGGAAAGTAAACCAGCAGATGGAAGACCTCTCTGTCTCTCTCTGTCCCTCCTTTCTCTGTAACTCTGCCTTTCAAATAAATAAGTAAATCTTAAAAAAAAAAAGAAAAAAGAAGCAATCTTACCCTTAAACGATCCTATTATAGGATACCCCAAGTTCCCTTTCTTGACCAGTATACCACATTACCCTTAATGCTACCACTTGAACCACAGTACCAGCAATAGCCCATAATAGGGATCTTCAAAAAGTTCGTGGAAAATGTATATTATTAAAAAAAAACTATGCATAGAATTTGAAATTTTTTGTACCAAAATAAACTTACCTTTTAATTCCATTTGTCTATATACATTTTGAGGTACACTCAGACTATGTATTTGTGTAGCACATTCTGTATGATCAGGTATATTCTGGGAAAAAGAGTATGTGTATTACTGCTCAATAATGAACCTCAGTTTGAGTCTGGGGATTAATGAATGCATATGACTTTATGGTTATAGTTTCTTACTATATGGATCTTCTGATTTGAAATGTGTCATCTTTGTCTTCATCTACCCTCTCCCCAGCCGCCTTTTCTCCTTTACAAACTGTTAATCCTTTAAGTCAAGGCAAGTACATGAGCTGTTTATCCCCAGCATCCACAGCGAATATCCCCCAGTCAGTCACAACATACTACATACTAGTTTCTGATGAGTTTAGAGTAGCCACACAGCATTCATTGCAGCCTCTGCTAACTGATGGGAAATAAGCCCATTTCCCATCCTTTCCTGAAACCATTATGACAAAAATTATAGCAGAAGGCTGCTTTATGTCAGCAGCAGATAGAATATTGGGAACTTTGGACTGCAGTGAAAATCATATGGGTGTATTCACCACAGCTGTAGGAGTTCTGTGACTAGATCTGGATAGTCTGAAATAGACAGGGGAGGTATCCTGGGGGATGCTGTAACTGTTGACCTTAGGACCAACATACCAAGCAGGATAATCTTTTGGGAATGCTTAGCACTGCAGTGTATATTACAAGGTCTATCCATGGGAAAAACATATTTGATCTACTAGCATTTTTGTCTTACATTAGAATGTCTTGGCACAGAGTTAACCTTGATACTGCTGGAAATGCCTCATTACAGTAATATAATAAAAATTGCAAGCAGTTCAGATTATTTCTCACAGAGATTACTTTTGCTTGACCAAAATTCTATATCATTCTGATTTTTTTTACAGTACTTCCCTGGAAAATTAAACCAGATATCATTTTATCAATGTCTTTCTACCTTCTTTTCTATGACAGGTAGAATATGCCTTATTGTGAATGCATGAGACCAGAAGTGTTTCATATTTTGGATTTGGAGTGGAGGGAGGATTTTTGGAATATTTACATATATATATAATGAGATATCTTAGGGGTGAGACCCAAATCTAAAGCACAAAATTCATTATGTTTCATATGTAATTTGGTACATGAAACAAAGTTTCATGATTTATAATTTTTCATTTATGGTGTCAGTAGTTAAGAAGCTTAGATTTTAGAACATTTTAGTTTTCTTATTTTCATATTGGGGTGCTCAGCCCCTACTAACTTCCAATTACTACTTACCTTTCCCTTAAGATACATAAATGAGGGGCCAGCGCAGTGGGTGAAAGCCCTGGCCTGAAGCACTGGCACCCCATATGGGCACCGGTTCTGGTCCCTGCTGCTCGCCTTCTGATCCAGCTCTCTGCTATGGCCTAGGATAGCAGTAGTAGACAGCCCAAGTCCTTGGGCCCCTGCCACCCGCATGGGAGACCCGAAAGAAGCTCCTGGCTTCTGGCTTTGGATTGGCACAGCTCTGGCTGTTGCAGCCATCTGGGGATGAACCAGCAGATGGAAGACCTCTCTCTCTCTGTAACTCTGTCTTTCAAATAAATAAAATAAATCTTAAAAAAAAAAAAAGATACATAAATGAGGGGCTAGCATTGTGGCATAGCAGGTTAAGCCTCCGCCTGTGATGTTGGCATCCCATATGGGTGCTGGTTCAAGACCCAGCTGTTCCACTTCCTATCCAGTTCTATGCTAATGCACCTAGGGAAGCAGCAGAAGATGGCCTAAGTCCTTGAGCCCCTGCACCCACGTTGGAATCCCAGAAGACACTCCGAGCTCCTAGCTTCAGCCTGGCCCAGCCCCTGTGGCCATTTGGGGAGTGAACCAGCAGATGGAAGACTGACCTCTTGCTCTGTCCTCCTCTCTCAATAACTCTGCCTTTCAAATATAAAAAAGTAAATAATGTATTTTTTAAAAACATACATAAATGAAAGAGGAAAAAGCTTTCTTTAACATTAAAGTGATAAACCATACTAATGATGATACTGATTTCTGTGATGTTTCAATCTGAAAATTGTCTTGGGTCAAATAAATACTTCAGTTATATATGGAAAAATAATACTCCTCATCATTCATTAAATAAATATTAATTATATGCCAACTTTTTGTTTGGCCCTGGGGTAGATGTTATAATAGAGATGGTCACAGTAGACATGAGGTAGAAGACAACAGTTAACAGAAAGCAGAAAACAAATTTTTCTGTACTTAAAAAAAATTATTTTTAGAAAAATAAAACCCAGTCCTTGAACTCCAGTTCTGAAAAGGTTTAATAGTCCTTGTACTGAGATAGTTTTTTTCTCTTTTTTTAAAGATTTATTTATTTACTTGAAAGAGTTAGAAGGGAAATACTTTATTGAACATGTATTTCTTTTGTTATACATTCCACTATCTGGGTGTGAATTTGGAAAATTGTTAGTTTTTGCCTTAACCTCAAATTACTATACTGTCTTTTTTTTTTTTTTTTTTTTTTTTTTGACAGGCAGAGTGGACAGTGAGAGAGACAGAGAGAAAGGTCTTCCTTTGCCGTTGGTTCACCCTCCAATGGCCGCCATGGACGGCGTGCTGCAGCCGGCACACTGCACTGATCCGATGGCAGGAGCCAGGTACTTCTCCTGGTCTCCCATGGGGTGCAGGGCCCAAGCACTTGGGCCATCCTCCAATGCACTCCCTGGCCACAGCAAAGAGCTGGCCTGGAAGAGGGGCAACCGGGACAGAATCTGGTGCCCCGACCGGGACTAGAACCCGGTGTGCTGGCACCGCAAGGTGGAGGATTAGCCTAGTGAGCCGCGGCGCCGGCCTTGGAGTACATTTCTGATCTATCTCCCTGCTTAATGTATCTGGAAAAGCAGTGGGTGATGGCTCAAGAACATAAGTTCCTGCTACTCATATTTGAGATAAGGCTCCTGACTTCAGCCTGGCCCAACACCAACTGTTTCATCCATTTGGAGTCATGAACCAGCAAATGGAAGCTCTCTATCACTCTGCCTTTTAGATAAATTGGTAGATTTTTTTTTTTTTTAAAGACATTCGTTACGACTACCCATGTTTCAGATTGGAATACTTCAGTTCACTACTAGCCGTCACGGTGCCTGACTCCATCTTTCTGCTGTTGCAGACTCCAGACAGCAGCAGTGATGACCCAAGTAATTGGGTTCCTGGCTCTGGTTCAGCCAAGACTAATCCAAGCCATTGCAGGCATTTGAGGAGTGAAGCGGTGGATAGGAGCTCTCTGTCTCACAGATGATTTTTTTTTAATTTAAATCGAGGTATTAAAAAACTACGGTTTTTCTCTTTAGATATATTCTGTAGATATATTCTGTATTCTTTTTTTTGACAGGCAGAGACAGTGAGAGAGAGAGAGAAAGGTCTTCCTTTTTTGCATTGGTTCACCCCTCAATGGCCACTGCGGCCAGCGCACCACGCTGATCCGAAGCCAGGAGCCAGGTGCTTCTCCTGGTCTCCCATGCGGGTGCAGGGCCCAAGGACCTGGGCCATCCTCCACTGTACTCCCCGGCCACAGCAGAGAGCTGGACTGGAAGAGGAGCAACCAGGACAGAATCCGGCGCCCTAACTGGGACAAGAACCCGGTGTGGTGGCGCCAGCCTCGATATATTCTATATTCTTTAGATATATTCTAATATATCTTTAGATATATTATTGAATAAATTCTATATTCAAGTCAAATATATATAATATATATTATATATTAATATATGATGTATAGTTATTAATATATAATATATTTATATATTATATGTAGTATAATATATAATGTATATGAATATTATATATATTTATATATAATTTGACTTGACCAAAAGAGGGAAAACTACCTTTACTCTTTCTTAGATTTTAACTACTTTGTTTCCCTCTAGTGTAGGAATGATAATGTCTTTTGAAGAAGGAATAAAAGTTGAAAGATAATCTCAAAAGTAGGTAATCTCAGACTGTGATAGAATCTGCTGAGCACTGTTCCTCTGCTGGACCAGCTGCCCAGCCTGGGTTGATGGACAATTTTTTACTTTCCTCTGGGCAAAGGTTTACAGAGATACTCAAACTTAATACTGACTTTGTCTTCTCATTATCAGAGGTAGCTGGTCTGAATTCAGTAGCAAGAATGTAATTCTCTTTTCAGTAAAGAATTTTTTTTGTATAATAAGTAATCAAAATAGTTAAGGATTTATTTTGAAAAACTTTATTTTTCTTCCTCATTATTTACTTTAAAGAACATCTTATATTTAATATTTCTTTTTTGCTTAACTCTTTTCCCCATCCTCATTCTTTACTCTCTTGGCAATTCTCTGATTAAACCTTTAAAACAGAATGTACTTGGGAATATTCTCCAGCAGGTAAATGCTTGAGGAAAATTGGGATTTACTAGAATCTGAGTAACTAATCACTAATCAAGTAGTTGCCTGTTTTCTAACAGTTAGCAGGAGCCTTAAAGAATCTAATGAATGCTGACACTGTGACAGAGCAAGTTAAGCTCTGCCTGTAGTGCTGGCATCCCACATGGGTGCCGGTTCTAGTTCCACCTGCTCCACTTCTGGTCAAACTTCCTGCTAATGTGCCTAGAAAGCAATGGGGGATGGCCCAAGTCCTTGGACTCCTGCACTTACATGGGATGGAGTTCCAACTCCTAACTTCAGCCAGGGCCATTGCTGTCATTTGTGAAGTGAACTGACCTTTTAGGGAGTAAACCAGTGGATGGAAGGTACTGTCTCTCTCTCTCTCTTTCAAATAAATAAATAAATAAGTAAATAAATCTGTTTAAAAAATAGTAAGAAAAAAGTACTTTTTCTTATATATATATCATAGATATGTTTTCCTAATAAATATTACATACTAATGTGCTTGTTTATGCAGTCAGGAAATAAAGAATATGCGCACAGGATGGTCTTTATAATACTTAATTAGTGAAATTTCTATTAATACATAGGTGATAATAAAGGTTATAGTTAGTCAGGTAAGTAAAAGAGAGAAGTGGCAGTAAAATGTATTCAGTGACTGCTTTTTTTTTTTTTTTTTTTTTTAAGAAAGATTTATTTATCTGAGAGAGTTACCGAGACAAAGAGATAGATTTCCATCTGCTGGTTCACTCCCCAAATGGCCACAACAGCCAGAGCTGGGCCAGTCAGGAGCCAGGAGCTTCTTCTGGGTCTCCCACATGGGTGCAGGGGCAAAACACACTAAGAGAATTCACAAGTACAATGTTCCATTAATTGTTAACAAATACTATCTTTAGTGGAGTTCTTAGAAATTAAGACATCTGCTCACTGAGCATTTGTAGTAAGAATAGCTTTATATGATCTTACATAGTCATTACATGCCATCAGGCCTTATCATCTTGGCCTTGTCTTAGATTTATGTGCTTTTTGTCTTCTCCCCCATTGTTAAGACATTTAACATGTTGACAGCGAGAATAATTTTACTTACCTTTAGGTTTCCATCGTTTGGTACATGTAGTGAGTGCTCAGTAAACGTGTCAAATTGATCTAATTTGATTGTATTATTCTCTTACAGACATCAACTAGTCAGGCAGTCTTCCGTCTCCAATCTGGAATCTGCCATCTCTTCCGAGAAACTTTAATTAACAAAGGTTTTGTGGAAATCCAGACTCCTAAAATTATTTCAGGTATGCTTCAAAATATTCACCTTGATTTTTGTGGGGAGCAATCCGGACTAGACTAAGTTACTCGAATTAAGACTTATTCTATGCATCTGCTCTCCCACAATATGGCGCTGGGAGAGAAGTAAACAGCTTCCGCACAGCTGCCTCCAGTTCAACCAATTAACTGTAGGACTTGCTCCTGATTGGAGAGCAGCGTGCTCGGCGTGTGGGCAGCCGAGTTGGGATTGGCGGAGGAGGACTATAGAGGAGGAGAGAGACGGCATGCACCAGGAACATCTATGGGGAACATCTAGCTGAAGGAACACCCGTGCAGCCCCCGAGAGAACCGGCCGGCGGTGTGCCGCTCCCCTGCGGAAGTGGGGAATGCGGCCAGGGGGAACTGCCCTTCCACAGAGGTGGAAGGGATAGTAGCCAACCCGGGAAGAACCAGCAGCAAACCCGGGGAGGGCCGAGCAGACGAAAGAACAGCGCAGGGTCCTGTGTCGTTCCTCCACGAAGAGGGGGAGCGACAATTTTTAAAACTGAATTTGCTTTTCCCAAAGTTGTTTATATTTTTGTAATTTGAGAATCCTAAGTGTCTTTTAAGGTTAATTGCTGCATGGCAGCAGTCAACATGTCAGCGACATCAGTAATATATCTCCTGAGGCAATAACACACAAAGCAAGACTCTTCTTATTCTCGTCATATTAGGCCAGGAACTATTTCTATTATATAGGTTTCTTTCAGAACAGGTAGTCTAGTTATGTTTTCTACAAACTGTAGTCTAAAAACAACTAAATACTATTAATGGAAAAATCACATTGATTTTCATTCTTGTGTGAATATCTTTTAAATCATTTTACCCATTCTTAGAGTTGTTTAATTAACTTTAAAGAAATGTACATGATGGGCATTTAGTTACAAATACAAAATTGAACATTGCCTCTTTTCCTTATTTTTTTTTTAAATTTTACAACTCCAAAGTAGCTTTAATATATTTGAAATTGAAGCAAAATGAAAACACGTAAGTCCAAAGAAGTAAACCTGGCTTAAATATAAATTGTGTAGACTCACATAAATAAAGGCATACGTAGATAGACAGACTATGATTTATCTACAATTCTTGATTTTCCATTTTTGTTTTTAGAATGATCTTGGATCAAAAATATAAACTGAAAAGAAATTTTAAACTATACTATCTTTATTAGACATTGTATTGCATTGATATTCTTACAATTAATTGTAATAATATAAATGTTTATATTTCAGCTGCCAGTGAAGGAGGAGCCAATGTGTTTACTGTGTCATATTTTAAAAATAATGCATACCTGGCCCAGTCCCCACAGCTGTACAAGCAAATGTGCATCTGTGCTGATTTTGAGAAGGTTTTCTGTATTGGACCAGGTAAGATCTTCTCAGTAAAGACTTTTTCCAAATTCATTAAATGCACAGTAGTTATAGTTAATAGACATTTTGAAAAATTAAATTCTTTTATATGCAGGCTGAACAAAAACAAGACTTTGAGGCAGAAGCAACAGTATGTGCCTCAGTAATTCTTTAAGTAACTGGGCATCATTCAAATGGGTAGCATCATAAGCATTATATATTCCTACAGAAGAATGCAGAAGAAACTTTTTATCTTAGGAGTATCTTATTGTAAAAATGAGTGCTTTTGGCCGGTGCCGCGGCTCACTAGGCTAATCCTCCGCCTTGCGGCACCAGCACACCGGGTTCTAGTCCCGGTCAGGGCGCCGGATTCTGTCCCGGTTGCCCCTCTTCCAGGCCAGCTCTCTGCTGTGGCCCGGGAGTGCAGTGGAGGATGGCGCAAGTTCTTGGGCCCTGCACCCGTATGGGAGACCAGGAGAAGCACCTGGCTCTTGCCATCGGATCAGCGTGGTGCGCCGGCCGCAGCGCGCTGCCCGCGGCGGCCATTGGAGGGTGAACCAATGGCAAAGGAAGACCTTTCTCTCTCTCTCACTGTCCACTCTGCCTGTCAAAAAAATTTAAAAAAAAAAAAAAAAAAATGAATGCTTTGAGAAGCCAGAGCTCTGGCATAGCTGGTAAAGCCGCAACCTGCAGAAGTATATTATTTATTATTCTTAAGTGCAACTAGAATAGAATTAGCTGCCGCTTGGCCTATGCTTTCAGCTCCCTATCAATGTTACAGGACAGTCTTTCAATTATTATATCTTACTGTCTTTTTATAGCCTTGTACAGTTGAAAGTTTGTGGTGTACCTCTGTGTTCTTGCTACCAATTTTATTCCAGAATTTTTTTACCTACTATTATTTGTACTTTAGTAATATGCTAAAATCCATTAGAAACTACTAACAAATGTCTTATATTTAAGAGATTATGTTAACTTGGTTTTAAAGATACATTTAGTAAAAATCCACATAATCATGTGGCAGTTTTTTTATGAAGCTAATTATAAGAAAAAGACAGCTTTACGTCATTCTTTTTTTTTAAGATTTATTTATTTATTTATTTATTTGAAAGTCAGAGTTACACAGAGAGAGAAGAGGAGAGAGAGAGAGAGAGAGAAAGGGAGGGAGGAGGGGGGTGAGGGGTCTTCCATCCGATGGTTCACTCCCCAATTGGCCACAACAGTAGGAGCTGCACTGATCCAAAGGCAGGGGCCAGGAGCTTCTACTAGGTCTGCCACATGGGTGCAGGGGCCCAAGGACTTAGGCCATCTTCCACTGCTTTCCCAGGCCACAGCAGAGAGCTGGATCAGAAGTGGAGCAGCTAGGACTTGAACTGGTGTCCACATGGGATGCTGGCACCAAAGGTGGCGGCCTCACCTGCTATGCCACAGTGCCAGCCCTACTTCATTCTTTAAAACTGAGCGAGTTTTATTATTTGATAGCTTAATAAAAATTAAATACTTTTCAATAAACTGGCAGGGTCGTTAACTAATGTCTTCGTTTTTATAATTAATTAACCAGTTACTTAGTGAGCGTCTGCTGCCTGTGTAGCCTTGTGCTAGAGAGCATGTACGTGAAGAAAGAATCAATTGGCACTTCTCAAATGTTAATAAACACGGATCTTGTTAAAGTGCAGATTCTGACCAGTAGATATGGGATTCCAGAATTCTGTGGTTCTCACAACAGTCCAGGTTACTATTGATGGTGTTGATATGCAGAACATGCTTTTGAGTGAAAGGGGAATAAACATTGTTCAGCTCCCGAGACTGAATAAGACATGTATACATATAGCAGTCACAAGGAATAATCAAATTATTTTCATGACATAATCAGGTTGTGCTGTACAGTCAGTATATTAGTATTAATTATGTAGTAAGTATAAAAAGAGTAAAAAGAGGGTGAAGATGAAGTTTGTTAGAGTGACCATAAAAATTCAAATTAAAATGAGCTTTAAAGACAGTAGCATATACAGACAATGGAGATGCCATTCTAATCAGAGAAAGCAGGATAAGTAAAATAATGGGGAAAAACAAAAATATAAGATCAGTTATTATTAGGAAATGAGAAATATAGGTTAGGATGAAATTGTGAAAGCATAAAGGTTTTTGACATTTTATATCTTAGAACAGCAGTCATTTATGAACCATTGTAACCGGCTATTACAGGAATATTGAGCTGAGCTAGAGTCGGGAAAACTGGAAAGGAAGAAAATGCAGTGAGAATATGATAGCTGGACTAAGCTGATGGCTAGAATATCTGTAATGTTCCTTCTTTGTATATTTTCATTTAGCTTGAGTCAGGTTTTGTTTTTTTTTTAATTTTTAAAATTTTATTTAAGGTATACAAATATCATGCATTTCATATATACAGATTTAGGAGCATAGTGATACTTCCCACCCCACCCTCCTACCCACTCATGCGCCCACCCTACCTCTTCCTTCCTCCCTCCCTTATTCTCTCTCAATTTTTACAGTGATCAACTTTCAGTTTACTTTCTCCTCATAAGATTAACCCTACACTAAGTAAAGAGTTCAACAAATAGCAGAAAAAAAACAGTTCTGCAACAGTAGAGACAAGGGCTGTAAACAATCATCAAATCTTAAAATGTCATTTTCATTCTTTTACATACACTCAGTGAAATAAAACAGTTCCCAAAAAGATTAATACCATATGTTTTCCCTAATCAATGGTAACTAATAGAGTACCAAAAAATGTAATGTATAGGAGGAGTTGAATCAGGTTTTAATGAAATTGAGAACTCACTGTATTGGTCAAAATTGAATCTATTTTTAATTATTGAAAACATCTCAGGAGCTTAAATTCCCTTGCAGTTTTCGGGAGCCTCAATTATTAATTTACATTTGGTACAGCTATTACTGTGTGACTATAGGAGTTTTTAATGTACTTGCCATGCAGAAGAATGCTGAACAGATGGTTTGTCAGAGGTCCTTCCAGCACTACAATGCTATCACTTGAGTACTGCTAAATTGAATTTTGTATTTAAATTCCAATTTATCCAAAATTTAAAGTAACATTGGCTATTTAACTTCACAGTGTTCAGAGCTGAAGATTCAAATACTCACAGACATCTTACTGAATTTGTTGGTTTGGACATTGAAATGGCTTTTAATTACCATTATCATGAAGTTATGGAAGAAATTGCTGATACTTTGGTGCAGATATTCAAAGGACTTCAAGAAAGGTAAAAGACATATTACATCTTAGATGGACCTAATTTCAAATCAGTTTGGTTCCTTTTTAAACAAAAGAATTCTTAAGTTGAAACAGTTTTTGTTTGATATTGATTGATTGATCGACAGGTAGGTATGCCAGTTCGATGATGCATTTAATTAGTCCTGTGCTTCAGAAGGACATTTTGGAAAAGGCCTCAAATTTACAATGATGGTCCCATAAGATTATGTCACGAGTCCCAGCTGCTCCACTTGTGATCCAGTTGCCTGCTGATGGGTGTGGAAAAGCAGCAGGTGATGGCCCAAGTCCTTGGTCCCCTGCACCCATGTGGGAGACCTGAAAGAAGCTCCTGACTCCTGGCTTCAGATCAGCTCACTTCTGGCTGTTGCAGCCACATGGGGAGTGAACCAGCGGATGGAAGATCTCTTCTGCCGCTACCTCTCTCTCTGTAACCCTTTGAAATGAATAAAATAAAAATCTTAAAAAAGATTGCCAAGATTCTAATGGGGTAAAAAAAAAATCTGGCCTTTAATTTAAAAATGTTCATCATAAAGATTTAGGAGATAAAATCTCAGATAAGAATTTTTTATTTTTAAAAAAAGGTTAATTTATTTGAAACGCAGAGTGTGTCAGAGACAGAGGTAGAGACAAAAAATGTGTGTGAGAGAGAGAGTGCACGTTTCCATCCACTGGTTTACTTCCCAAATGACTGTGATGGCCAAGGCTGCACCAGGCCAAAGCCACAAGCCAGGAACTCCATCTGAGTCTCGTACATGGGTGGCAGAAGCCCAGGTACTTGTGCTATCATTCATTGCCTTTCCAGGCTTATTAGCAGGTAGCTGACTTGGAAATGGAGCAGCCAAGACTCAAACTGGTACTCCAATAAATGATGCTGGCATCACAAATTTGGGCTTAATTCATTGCACTACAATACTGTCTCCATAAAGGAATTTTTAACTCATTTAATGCCCTTGTGGTTACAAAAACATGGGACTGTAAAGCGACATTAAATATTCTAAATATTTAAATTTCATTTCATAATAATTTTTTAACATTCTTCATAGTGCATATGCTGATTCAGAGAGTGATTTAGTATATTGCTACAATGACCTCTTGTGGAGGAACCATTTATCTCACATTTTAACTAAATCATTGTACAAATAGGTTCCAGACTGAAATCCAAATGGTGAATAAACAATTCCCCTGTGAGCCATTCAAATTTTTGGAGCCAACTTTAAGACTAGAGTATTGTGAAGCATTGGCTATGCTTAGAGAAGCTGGAGTTGAAATGGGAGATGAAGACGATCTGAGGTTTGTCTTTGTGGGTTTTGGTTTTTTATTTTTTTTAAAGTTTGGTAATTAGGCTTAAGAGATGAAAGAGTAGCCTTATTAGATGATTAGAGTACATGATTTTTATGTAGCTAATAAATTTAAATCCCGTTAATTTGGTATATAGTATGATGCCACTTTATATAATGAGTGTTCTGAAATAGAAATGTTTAATTTGATTTATGTAGGTTTCAATAACTTTGTTTCTAAGCACAATTTTTTCATTTTTCCCCCTCATATTTATAATCCTTGAAAGAAAACAGGAGTTTTCCTGTGATTTTTATCATCGAATATGTTTGTTCACTTTCTAATCAATGATATTATTTATAAAGAGTAAGCAGCAAACCAAATCCATCTCCACCCAGGATTAGGGCATAAAACTGTCAGTATCTCCAAAAGACTGAAAAATCACTGTTCTTTACTTGATATATAGTACAGTCTAAATTCAGTTCATATATATAACATATAATTTTGAAACAAGTTACATAATATAGTAAAGATTGAAAATTACTATCAAGTTATATTTCATTCAGGGATTTGTAGTGAAAATATTTAAGTCATCATATATATCATATATCTATATCATATATCTATATAAAAGGAGAAAAGGAGATTTTTCTCATTTTTTAGGATTCTTAAACAGATATTTCACTCATAACCCCTTATTTTTGTTAAACGGTGTATGTCCAAACACACATTTAAGCATCCCCTATATTGATAGATGACATTTTAAAACAAACAGTAAGTTTTGAAATTATTTTAAGTTGGACAATATTTTCTTAAATATTTTGAAAATCATTCTTAAAAAGTACAGGCTACCTCTTGGCTGCAGAAATTTAACATGTTTACATAAACACTATCACATTTTGAAAACTTAGAAATACAGATTTTTACTTTATAAACCTTTGATAAAGAGTAGCAAAAAGGAGAGACTGTTAGACTAGCCCAGATTGGTGTAGTGAACTTGAATTATGTGTAATAGTCAGAAATTATTTCATCTATGATATTTCTGAATCAATGAATTGCTAAATTTTATTTATGATTTTAAATATTTGGGTACAACCTACTCAGCACTAAGTCACTTTACTAGGAACATTTATAAGTGGTTTTCAGTAGTATTTGCCTTTTAAAAAGGGAATGAGATAGACACTGATGTGTTATGGCCAAATTTTTTATCTTTTGAGAACTTCAAGTGGAAGGGTTGCCATATTAAACTTAAAAGTCTTTAATCTTCAAACACATGATTCATGTTTCTTTTTCAGCACGCCAAATGAAAAACTGTTGGGTCGTTTGGTAAAGGAGAAGGTAGGACTCTTTTGTACATGTTGAGTTTCTTTTTCTGTATTTGAAATGTAACCTGGTGTTAAAGAACAGTTACAGGGGGAACTAATCTGAGAAATAATGTGATTCCAGAATAAATAAAAAACAAAGGGACAATATTTTAAAAGTTCTTAGAAAAACATTCAGACGGGCTCTACTTACTTTCACTCAATATTTGGTAGTTGTACTAAGTTATACAAGAGGTGTCTCAAAGTGATACTTGTGTCAGATTAGTTAAAAAGATATCAAAAATATTTGAAATTATTTAGATATAACTTCCCTGAGCACTCCTGCTATCTCATGAGATTTGAAGATGAGTGAGTTTCCTTTCTGCCTCATATGAAAGCTACTTTCCTGTCCTATTTTCTAATGGTGTAACTCCAAAGAGGATAAAAGGTAAAGTTGGTGTGGTAGTCTTTAAAAAACTGAGAATAATGTAAGGAATTGAAAAAGTCCTCGAGCTCCTCCTGCTGGTTGCACTTGAAATGGTTAAGGCAAATCTGAAACCAAACAGTAATGATTTTTTTATACCTTTAAAATGTTGTTTCAGCACATCCAATTCCAGTTTGTCTACCCTGTTCACATTCTCTCTAATCTCCAATTTTAGAAAAAAGATTTAGACTCAAGAAGAGTTAAAATATATTGAACTTTTTCATTAAATCTGGGTCTCAGTAGGTTTATCAAACATGTCATAATTTCATGTGATTGTTATTTCTATAGTGTTATTTTGGAAAAACACTACCCAATTTCATTTAAATATGTAAGCAAAGATTTAAACTGTTGCAAAAATATTTGTATTTTTAAAATATTAATACTATAAAGGATGTCATTTTTTCCCAAAAATATTTTATAGATTTAACATAGTTTCTATGAAACTCTAATGGATTTCAGATAACAGAACAATCATAAAATGCATCTGAAAGACTGGATGAGCTAGTATATAAAAAAATTAAAAGTATTTACCACAGCATAATTGACAGTAGGAGAGAAACTGGAACAAGATTACATGCCTAGAAAAATAAATATATGAATGAACTATGATTGAAAGTAAACAGCTCTTAAGATATTGGAAGAACTTGTAACATGGCAAAATACCATAGGATCAGTTGTTATTTGACAAAATATACTAATTATATATATAGTACCTATAGTAACTTTGATGAATAAAATGTAAATAAAAATAATTATCAAAATATTAGCCTTTTTATGTATTTTAAATGTATTTTAATTGCCTCTGTTCTTTTTATAGTATGATACGGATTTTTATATTCTTGATAAGTATCCATTGGCTGTAAGACCTTTTTATACAATGCCTGACCCAAGAAACCCTGTAAGTAATTTAATTTTAAATAACCTTTTTGGGGGAAGAAGAAAGATTTCCTTGTCACTACATCAGATTGTACAATGGGAATAATGGTTTTCATTAGTAATTTGCATTTCACTACTAACTTTGTTGTACATATTACTACTGTTGTCTGTCAGTACAGATCAAAGGATTTGTGGAGTTTTTATATTCTAGCAAATTAGTCCTGAAAATCTAAATAAAAATTAATTTTCCTGGGTCACTTTTTTGATTCATAAGGTAGAAAGATGATATAAAAGATAAATAGCACTACCAGATTTGCAGACTTTAGCAAATCATCCTGTCATTGATCTTCCACTAGGAATTCATTTTATGTCCTGGAAGTTAATATGAATAGTCTTTTGGCCTTTTACTATTTTTTCATCTTGCAGTGGCTCCCAAACTTTAGTGTGTGTCAGGATCACTTGGAGGACTTTCATAAAATTTTATATGTGTATTTATTCACCTATGTTTTTTATTTGAGAAGCAGAAAGAAAAAGAGAGCTCTCCCATCCCCTGCTTCACTCACCAAATGCCCACAGTGGCCTGAGCTGGGCCAAACCAAAGCTGGAGACAGGAACTCTTCCAGGTCTACCGTGTGGTTGACAGGGACTCACCTACTTGAGCCATTACCTGCTCTTTCCCAGAGTACTCATAAGCAGGGAAGTGAAATCCAAAGCAAAGACAGGACTTGTGGCATGTGGGTATCCAGACCAGTGTCTTAGCTACTGAGCCAGATACCTTCCCCACCTCTGGAGAACTTTTAAAACAAAACTTGCTAAACCTCATCTTCAAAGCTTCTGGTTGTTCTGGGGTAAGGACTGATAATTTGTATTTCTTACAAGTTCCAGGTACTACTGAAGCTTCTGGTCTAGGAATTATGCTTTGAGACCAGTGGAATTATTCAAAAACTAGGGAAGTAAGATAAAACTGCTATTATTAGGTACCTGATAGAGAACAGGTTAAGATTTGGTAAATCAATTTTCAGTTTACTTTGCTTAAATTTTTTTTAAATTTTATTAAAATGACAATTTAGGGGTGAGTTGGGCCTCTACCTGTGACACAGGCACCCCATATGAGTGCCCATTTAAGTCCCATCTACTCCACTTCCTACCCAGCTCCTTTCTAAAGTGCATGGGAAAGCAGCAGATGATGGCCAAGTGCTTGGGCCTCTGCCAACCACATGGAAGACTCCCAGATGTAGTTCCAAGTTCTTAGCACTAGGCTCTTGGCTTTGGCCTGGCCCAGTCCTAGCCATTGGAGCCATCTGAGGAGTAAACAAGCAGGTGGAAGATTTCTGTCTTTCCCACTCTCTCTGTAACTCTGCTTTTCAAGTAAATATACTTTTTAAAAATGACAGTTTGGAATCCCAAAAATCATAACGCAGTTAAAAACACTTCATGAGGCTGGTGCTGCGGCATAGCAGGTAAAGCTGCCTCCTACAGTGCTGGCATCCTATATGGGTGCCAGTTCGAGTCCGGGCTGCTCCTCTTCCAGTCCAGCTTTCTGCTATGGCCTGGGAAAGTAGTAGAAGATGGCCCAAACCCTTGGGCCCCTGCACTTGTGTGGGAGTCCCAGAAAGAAGTTCCTGGCTCCTGGCTTCGCATCAGCATAGCTCTAGCCATTGCGGCCAACTGGGGAGTGAACCAGTGGATGGAAGACTTCTCTCTCTCTCTCTCTCTCTCTGCCTCTCCTTCTCTCTGTGTAACTCTTTCAAATAAATAAATAAATAAATAAAAAAAACACTTAAGGCAGGCTTGCAAAAAAAAAACACTTCGTATGATAAAATAAGGATCAGCACTACTTCTTTACAAGTCAGATGTGTTACTTTTGTTATTGAAGGATATGAGAAAATGAGAGCACAAAATCTCTGACATGCGAGAAAGAAATTATGCAAGCTTTAGTAATTTCATTCTACTTTAGAGAAATAAATTATGTTCATTAAAGCAGGTTGCATCACTAATCCATGGAATAAATAGACTTGCTCTTCACTTAAGGTATTGTTTTCCCTATATATGTGTATAATGGAAATAGGATGATAGGCACTTGAAAAACGGTGTTCTTTTGTTTGTTTTTCCTGTAGAAACAGTCGAACTCTTACGATATGTTCATGAGAGGAGAAGAAATATTATCAGGAGCCCAAAGAATACATGATCCTCAGCTGCTGACAGAGAGAGCCTTGCATCATGGAATTGGTAACTACTTAAAATATATTTAGGAGCATGTGTCTTATGAAAATAACACATTATAAAAATTTTAAGGATTTCTCAAACAGTATTTTAACTTTCATTGAATTTTTTAAATAAAGTAATAAATTTTGTTCTGGATTGCTCTTTTGTAGATTTGGAGAAAATTAAGGCTTACATTGATTCCTTTCGCTTTGGAGCCCCTCCTCATGCTGGTGGAGGCATTGGTAAAATCCTTTTATTACTTATAAATAAGTCTTTAAGTGCTAAGTATAACACAAATTTGAAGTTTAAGAATTCTTTAAATAAAATAAGTTATGACTAAGGGAACGTTTGATTTTTGCAGGGATAGTTAACAACCAAAGTTGCATGTTCTAAAATATTACAAAATTCTAGCCATTGTTTTTGCTCAAGAGTTCAAAAACCAAAAGTCTTAAAAGTTGAGCATCCTGTTTCCTTTCTGCTACTATGAACTCACTTAGTATATCCCAGATTAAAACTGTGCCTCAAGTTAGCCCAAAGAGCTAAATGTTTTTGTTGAAACAACATTTCATTGGCTTTTAGCACCACATCTAGAGTGTATACAATACACTGCTCTGATGTAAAAAAACTGGTAAATATTTATCTTACCAATGTGTACATAGCAAAGAATCAAAGAGAATTTTGCAGTTTTGTTGCAGTTTTTGCTTATAGTTTGTTAGAGGTTTTTTGTTGAATAGGTAATATACTTTAAAATTTTTCAAAATTAACAAGTATGGGAAAGTCTTTTATTCAAGTAGTACTGAGAAAACTGATACCACATGCAAGAAAAGTAAAATTGGATCCCTACCTCAAAAGATGGTCCAAGTCCTTTGGGCCTCTGTCACCCATGTGGGAGACCCCAGAAAAGCTCCTGGCTCAGCCCTTGCCATTGTAGCACGTTGGACAGTGAACCAGCAGATGAAAGTTTAAAAAAATTTACTCAAAATGGATCAAATACCTAAATATAAGATATAAAACAATGAACCTCTTCTTTTTTTTTTTTTTAAACAGGCAGAGTAGACAGTGAGAGAGACAGACAGAGAGAAGGGTCTTCCTTTGCCATTGTGAACCTCTTCTTAAAAGAGAACAGGGCAGAAGCTTCATAACATTTGATCTAGCAATGATTTATCAGATATGACATCAAAAGCACAGACAACACAAAAAGCAATTTGAATATTACATTTTTTTAAGTTTTGTGTATCAGAAGACAATGACAGTTACCAACAGACTGAGGAGGCAACAAATAGAATGGGAGAAAACATTTGCAAATGATGCATCTGAGAAGGGATTAATATCCACAATATAGAGAGAAATCCTAAAACAACAAAAATAATTTAATTTAAAAATGAGCAAAGAGTTGCAATAGACATTTCTTCAAAGAAGATACACCAGTGGCCAATAAGCACATGAAAAGATAGTCAACATCACCAGTTATTAAGGAAATACAAATTAAAACTACAATGATATAGCACCTCAAATCCAGTAAGATAGCTACTGTTTAACACACACAGAGATACAGTATTATTGACAATATGGAAAAATTGGAACCTTGGTATACTTTTAGTGGGGATATAAAATGTACAGCAGCAGTATGAACATTCCTCATAGAGTTAAAAATAGAATTAGTATATGATGCAGGAGTTCCACTTATGTGTATATACACAGAAGAAATGAAAACAGGGTCTCAGAAAAATATTTGTACAACTGTGTTCATAGAAGCATTCATTTCAGTAGCTAAAGCATGGAAAAAGTAACCCGACTGTTGATCAACACATGCATAGATAAGCAAAATGTGTTTCAATCTCCCTTATCTGAACTGTTTGAAACCAGAAATATTTTAGATTTTAGAGTTTTGGGAATTTTCGAACACCTCATAGACTTTACTGGACTAACATTCTTAATCCAAAAACCACAAATCCAAAACTTTTGGGTTTTTTTTAGATTTATTTATTTATTTGAAAGGCAGAGTTAGAAGCAGAGGCAGAGAGAGAGAGAGGACTTCCATCTGCTGGTTCACTCCCCAAATGGCTGCAATAGCCAAAGCTGGGCTGATCCAAAGCCAGGAGCCTGGAGCTTCTTCCAGGTCTCCCACATTGATATAGGGGCCCAAGGACTTAGGCCATCTTCTAGTGCTTTCCCAGGCAATGTCAGAGCTGCATTGTAAATTGAGCAGCCAGGACTCAAAACAGCACCCCTATGGGATGCCAGCACTACAGGTGGTAGCTTTAACTGCCACGCCACAGCACCGGCCCCAAAAAATCCAAAACTTTTGAACATCAACATGATATTCAAAAAGTATCAGATTGTGGAACATTTTTGGATTAGGATTAGGAATGTTCAAGCTATATTTTGGTGCAATGAAATGTTATTCAGCCTTTACAAAGGAAGGAGATTCTGACATATGCTACAATATGGATACACCTTTAGGACATTATGCTAAGTGAAATTAGCCAGTCACAAAAAAGCAAAATAATATAATTCTACTTATGGGAGGTACTTGTAGAAGCTGAGAGCTGTATGGTGGTTGTCAGGGCATGGAGAGAAGAGTAAGTGAAGTTATTGTTTAGTGAATATAGAATTTCAGTTCTGCAGTTGAAAAAGTTATGGCCTACCAAAAAACTGTTAGAACTAATAAATGAATTCAATAAAATTATAGGATGTAAAGTCAACATACAAATGTCAGTAACATTTCTATACATTAACAACAAACTATCCAAAAAGTAAATCAAGAAAATAATTCGGTATACAATAATATCAGTAAAATAAAATATTTAAGATTAAATTTAACCAGGGAAGTGAAAGCTCTTTCACTTCAGTGTACAGATATGTACACTGAAAAATGTTGATAAAAGAAGTTTAAATAAATGGAAAGAAGACATAAATAAATGGAAAGGTATCCTGTGTTTATGGATTAGAAAAATTAATATTGCTCAACTGGCCAAAGCATTCCACAGATTATTATATCCCTATCAAAATTTCAGTGAAATTTTTCATGGAAACAGGAAATCTTAAAATTCATATGGAACCACAACAGCTAAAGCAATCTTGAGCAAAAATAACAAATCATACCATCTGATTTCAAAATGTATCACAAAGGTATAGTAATGAAAACAGCATGGTACTAGCATAAAAAGAGACACATAGACCAGTGAGATGGAACAGAGATGCGAAATAAATCTATGTGTTTTTAGTCATTTGATCTTCAATAAAAGGTACCAACATCAAACATGGGAAAATGACAATCTGTTCAATAAATGATGTTGAGAAAACTGGAATAGCAGAAGAATGAAATTGAACCTTTAATTTATACCATATATAAAAAATGGTCTCAACACAGATTAAAGAACTAAATGTAAGACCTGAAACTGCAAAAGCAATAGAAGGAAATGTAAAGAAAAAGCCTCTTGAGTCTGTGTACTGTGGTGTAGCCAGTAAAAGTTGCCGTCTGCAGCACTGGCATCCCATCTGGGCACCGGTTCAAGTCCTGGCTGCTCCACTTCTGATCCAGCTCCCTGCTAATGCACCTGGGAAGGCAGTGAAACATGGCCCAAGTACTTGGGCCCCTGCACCCATTTGGAAGACCCAGAGGAAGCTCCTGGCTCCTGGCTTCAGGCTTCAGACAAGCCCAACTCTAGCTCTTACAGCCATTTGGGGAGTAAACCAGCAGATGGAAACTCACTCACTCTTGCCCTATAACTCTGCCTTTCACATAAATAAATTAATTTAAAAAAGAAAGAAGAAGAAACAGCTTCTTGACACCTGAGTAGACAAAGATTTGTTGCCTAGGCAACAAAAGCAGAAGTAGACAAATTGCATCAAAGTAAAAATCTATACAGCAAAGGAAACAATAGAATAAAGATACATTTTAGAGAATAGGAGAGATTATTTGCAAACCATATTTCTTATATGAGGTTAAGATCTAAACTATTATAAGGCACCTGTATAACTCAATAGCAAGAAAACAAATCACTCAATTAAAAAATGGACAGAGAACCTGATTAAATATTTCTCAAAATAAGACATATACAAGGTGACCAACAAGTAGTATATATATGAAAAAATGGTCAACATCACTAATCACCAGAAATGTAAATGAAAGCCATAACAAGATGTCACTTCACACCTGTTAGAATGTCTGTCATCAAAAAGACGAAATGTATAGTGGTGAGGTTGTGAGAAAAGGAACCTTTGAAAACAATTGGTGGAAATATAAGTGGTAGAGCCAATACAGAAAACAGTGTGGAAATTCCTCAAACATTTAAAAATAGAACTACCATATTATCTAGCAATCCCACTTCTGTGTATAAATCCAGAGGAAACAAAATCACTACCTTGTAAAGATAACAACCCCATTTCATTGTAGCATATGCCTACAATAGCCAGGACTGGGATGGTCTGAAATCAGGAGCTGAGGTCTCTCACATGGGTGGCAGGAACTCGATTGAGCACTGCTGCCTTCCAAAGTCTACATTAGCTGGAAGCAGGAAGCAGGAGCCAGGGTTCGGAATTAGACCCACTCACTCTGATATGTGATACATGCATCTTCACCACTAGGCTAAACTAACCTGTGCCCATAAGTTGTTGTAAAAAGTTGTAGAGGCTGGGGCCAGTGCTATGGTTCAATAGGTTAATTCGCCTGCGGCGCTGGCATCCCATTTGGGTGCTGGTTCAAGTCCCAGCTGCTCCTCTTCTCATCCAGCTCTTTGCTATGGCCTGGGAAAACAGCAAAAGATGGCCCAAGTGTTTTTGGGCCCCTGCACCTGTGTGGGAGGCCTGGAAGAAGCTTCTGTCTCCTGGCTATGGATTGGCTCAGTTCTGGCCATTGTGGCCATCTGGGGAGTGAACCAGTGGATGAAAGACCTCTCTCTCTCTCTCTCTCTGCCTCTCTTACTCTCTCTCTCTGTAACTCTACCTCTCAATAAATAAAAATATTTAAAAATAAAAATATTATAGATTTATCAAGATGGATAATAGTGACAGTTGTACAGTATTACAAATATATTTAATACCACCAATCTGTGTATCTAAAAATGGCTAGAATGGTAACTTTTAACAGTATTTTATCAGATCAAAATTTTTGAAGGAAAAATATGCAGAACAGTGTGCATTTACTTCATAACAGAAAACTTTCTAGTTTTCTGCTTTTATGAAAATAATCTTTGCATATACAAAACGATGTACACATATGCTTTTTAAAATATTGTAA